ATTATTATTATTTCATTAAAATTTTTAATTTAGTTTTTCTAAAAATTATTATTATTTCATTAAAATTTTTAATTTAGTTTTTCTAAAAATTATTATTTAATTCACCAGAATTAAAAATCAAAACCTAACAAATATTAATAAAATTTTTTAATATAGAGAGTACATAGAAAATTATGATGATGATGATCATCATCATATTCATACTACTTATGAAATCATTATATATTTCCAACAATTATACAAAAATGATTTCAAAATATTTTTAAATTTTACTAAATTCTTGCATATTATACTTATCACATTTTAAGTAGGCTTAAGAGTAACTTGTATGAAAATGCTCTACTTGTAGGTGTAAACATACAATTTCTTGTATTGTATTGTAATATATCATGAAAATTTTGTATATATTCTACATGAAAGCTAATCACTGAAATTATTTGAAGCAGTTACATTCATTGTCATATCTGAAAGATATTTTAACAAAAATAAATTGATACTCTCAAAAATTAATGTTTATAACATGTACAATTTGTTTTATTTAATTATGCACATATAAAGTTCAAAATATAGAATTTCTGATTTGTTGAAATCCAGTAATTTTTAGTGTCTGAATGACTAACAAAATTTCCTCTCTAACAAAAATTCAATAACAACTACATTATGTCCATGAACATTCACATATACAAATAGAATTTTAATAATAATAAGGTAGTTTTACAAAACTTAAAAATATACAGTGCACTCTCACTGATCCAACATATGATCGAACAATCTCACTGAACAACATATAATAATTAGTTTTAATTATTATATGTTGTTCAGACAAAAAATTTACACACCTGATACTACCTCTTACGTAATGGAAAGGACCCTCCTAACCCCATCAGACGCCCTGGAATCTATAGCATCCCAGTNTGTATGTTTTAGAATTTGTCTTATTCTAATTGTAAATATTGTTTTACTTTCATTATTTTAAGCATTTTATGATAACATAATTAATTCTATATGTAATATGTCTCTGTAATCCAACAAACAGTAGACAGACTCACTCCAAATTTTCAGTTAGGAACTACAATTTTATTCTCAAAATTGACATATGCATTTCAGGTTGGCTCAGTACATCCCAACCCCTCCTCAGTGCTAATTTTTAAAAATAATAAAAACGAAAATAGTCAGTTCATGACAACAAATATACTAACAGAAAAAATTTTTTCTTACACACTTACTCTTAAAGATAAAAAAATTGTGCATGGGACACCAACACATCGTAGAGGTATTGTACAAGTTCAAAGAGCACTTGAAGTGTTTAATACCACCGGATAACCTCATTACTAAAAACAACTTTTTAATGACTATTTTGTAGAATTAATAATGGTGTATAAAAACAACATATATTACTTACTGTTAAAATATATAGTGATATAAACAGTTTATGAACAATAATTTACAAAAAACCAAGTTAAAACCTTAGCACCTTTCTTTTAATCAATCCTAACTGAAAATTTGCTGAGAGTCCGTTTACCATTTGTTGGATTACAGAGACATATTACATAGAGATCTAATATACAGCAATCCAGTTATATAGTAACATACTTAAGTTTAATGATTATTTGCCTCTCATTTCTTCTTGTAATTTGTTCTCTTAAAAGGAAAGTAATTCTATAAAATAAATAAAGTAAAAAAGTAAGATGTTTAAATTGTATTGAAAAGGTTTTGTGATTTAAAATCTCAAATTATATTTTATAGATTGTAAGCGAAATGGCATCTGCAGCGGGACTAAATTGTAAAGTGGATCCTGCATTAGTATCATCTTTAAGATCACAGAAAAGTGGTATGATATTTTTTCTATTTTTGTTCTTTTGGAGAAAGAAAATAATTAAATAATAATTTTTAGACTTAGGTGAAGACGAGTATCAAATTGCTTGTCTGCTGATGGTATTTGTGGCTGTTTCTTTACCGAAATTAGCTCGGAACGAAGGTTCTCACTATAAAGCCTCTTTAGAAGGTCGGTATTATAGCTCCAAATGTTAAAAAAGTAAAGATTTTAGTTTTAAGTAAATTTTTTTATAATTGGTTTATTAGGGCATGCCAATAATATTCATTGCTTGGCAGAAGCTATTAATGGCATTGCTGGAGCTCTGTTTACAATCTGTGGGCATGGAGATATTGAAGAAAGACTAAAAGAATTTCTTGCGGTGAGCATTGCAGTTTCTAATTAAGTCTTAATAAACAGAAATTTTATGATTAATGTAACTAATTTTATAATCCATTAATATGTTTGTTAAATATTGATTTAAATTATTTAACAACAATTCAAAATTTTTCTTAGTTGCCAATAAGATTACATTTTTAAATATGTTTTAAATTAATTACTTACAGTTGGCTTCATCCAGTTTACTGCGTTTAGGGCAGGAGAGTGACAGAGAAGCAATACGTAATCGGGAATCCGTTTATCTTCTGCTGGACTTGATAGTCAAAGAATCGCCCTTCTTGACCATGGACTTGTTAGAATCTTGTTTCCCTTATGCATTACTGAGAAATGCCTATCATGCAGTGTATCGTGCCGATAATGTGTAAAATATGTTTGTATAAACATATACATACCTATATATATAAATATATAAATATATACATTTGGTAACTGTTTACTTACCACATTGGTTGAAAATTGCATTGGCTACAATATCTCATTTTTCTATAAGAGAATGTCGAGTTCCACAATTATTCCAGGCATGTACCGTAGCTTATTTAAGTCGATAATTTGTATTTTTGTACTGCCATTTTTGTCCGGATAATTTTATCATCGGTGATAATTTTTGGAACTGCAATTTCCAATGCAAACATGGCATTTATCTTGTAGTCCTTGTATAAATTTTATTTCACTTTATTCGGGTCATTCATCAAAACTCCTTGTACATAAAAAAAATAAACTGATTTTGTTAGAACTTTTTAAAAGTTTGTGTTACCAAAGATCATTTTTATTTATGGAAGTAGAATGTTTATTATTTTCTTATCCATTTTAAATATTAATGATACTGAATTACTATTGTGTAAAATATTTTTGTTGACTTTTTTTTAATAATTTAGTAATAATCAAAATATGGTATTTGCAACAAATGATAAATTGACATGTGATTATTGTACATGAAAAGTTGCAAAAACAATTTCCTATTTTATCATTGTAGTATATAAAAAATAATTCTCTTTTTTTTAGTTGTGGTGTTTGATTTTTTTTTATATAAAACATTGAGAAAATAAAAAATTTTTTATGAGATTTGCTTTTTGTATTTGTCAGTTGTCCTAAATAAAGTGTTAAATTTACTTTGCAAAACTTTTCTTAATTTAAGATTACAGAATGTTTATATTATACATATGCTCTTAATTAAAATTAAATTTCTAATATTATGTAATAATTAACAGTTAAAATTAAGTTTATATATTGCATATAATTTACAATTTTTGAAATTAATAAGATTAGTGTATTATGTAGGATATAAAATATTTTTTGCTGAGTACAGTAACCTAAGTAATAGTTATGAAATGTTACACCAGCATTTCATCATCCTTGATATAACAGTAGTAAAGTGCTCATTTTGGTTTTAACTATTGCTTGTGTGCTTGTCTGTATTCTGTTGACAATTAACTATACAGTACACTCACGATGTGAGTTGACACCTAGAAAGAATTGCATTGAACTTTTTTTTTACATAAAGTTGCTGTACAAATTGCTCAGTGACTGAACTAGTTGTTGCAATATCACAAAGCTTAAATAAAATGGAATGTAGTGTGTATGGTTTAAAATATACAGTGGAATCTTGGTTAAAGAGCTTAATCCATTCCACAACTCTGTTCATTAAACAAAGCAATTAATGCAAATACAATTTATCCATTCTAGCCTTTTGTAATTTTATTTGTTAAAATGAGTTTTCTTTGATAAAAATATAGTAGCTATCATTACAGCAACAAATATGTAAACTTTATTGCTTATCCAACACAATATAGTGCAACTTAACGATCACTTGGCTTTCTTTCACCTTTATTCTAGTTGACTAGAATAAAGGTGAAAGAAAGCCAAGCAATTGTTAAGTTGCACTACATTGTGTTAGATAAACAATAGAAATAGAACATGATACGGTTTCAAAAAGAAAAATGTAAATTTTATTTAATAAAACAGCACTGTACATACCTTCATTTGTATGGAGCTTAATGCTTGGAAGAGTAAATCCTCCTCAGGATTAAATATCAGGTAGTAGTGCATTGGGAGATTCTTCGAGTTGAGGTCTCTCTTGATAAGGAACAAGAAAGTGATCTAAAGTTGAATGTCTTATTCTTTTAAATTAATCAAAGCTTTTCTAAAATGCAATATAGGATTGTTGTTCATTAAATTAACGACCCTGTTAGTCACAACTTCGTTAGGATGGTGGTGCTTCTTGATAAATTCCTGCACATCATTTCATTTGCTGCAAAGTTCCTTGATCTCAGCTCTGGTGATTTCTTCCCTAACCTTCGAAGAGAAGGTTAGGGAAGAAATGCTCTGACAAATGCTCTTCCTGCAAGGCAACCAGATCTTCTGTGATTAGTTCATTTTAATGGTCCTTTATCAACTCTTCCATGTCTGCATCATGTACCTCTAAATCCCAAACTCTTGCCAATGAACACAATTTCATGCACTACATCAGGAGAGCTCTCTGCTTCAAATTCCTCAAAGTTTTGCTCTGGGACACAAGTTGGCCAAAGTTTCCTCCAGGTTTTGTCAATAAGGTTGATACAATGCACCTTTTAGAATGCTCTAAGAGTTAAGTCGGTATCATTGGTAACATGGAAACATCTGGTGAACAGTGCCTTTGTATACAGCTTTTTAAAATTGGAAATTACTTGCTGATCCTTTGATTGCAGTAATGGAGTTGTGTTGGGTGGAAGGAATTTGGCCTTGATGAAATCATGCTCACTATCCTGGACTTCCTGTAAATTTGGTGGGTGTGCTGGAGCATTATCCATTAAGAGAAGACATCTAAGAGGAAGAAACATTTGCTGAAGATAATTTTTGACAGTTGGAGCAAACACTTCTGTGAGCCAATTCATGAATAAAGTCTGAGTTACATATGCCTTGCTATTTGCCTTCCATTGTACAGGCAGTTTGGACTTTATCACATTATTGCTCTTAAAGGCATGGGGATTTTCGGCATTGTAGAGTGGCTTGATTTTGAGGTCTCCACTTGCATTGCACAAAATAAAAAGAGTGAGCCTGTCCTTTATGGGCTTGTGTCTGGGTAGTGCTTTCTCTTCTTGGGTTATGTACATTCATCTATGCATTTTTTTTTTTCAAAAAAGACTGGTCTCATTGCAATTAAACACTTGATTTGAGATGTATCCTTCACTTTTTACAAACTCTCTGAATTCATCCACAAATGCTTTTTCATCTGAACTTGAAGCCTCCCATGCTTTATAACACTGTGAATGTCACTTCGTCGACAAAACCTATCAAACCACCCTTGGCTTGCTTTAAAGTTCTGCCACCTGCACTTGTACTGGATGTCTGGGTCAACAAGTCACTGTGTAAATTTTTAGCCTTTTCACAAATTATAGCTTCACTAGACTGTCCAGCAAGTTGCTTTTCATTGATCCATATTAGCAGCAGTTTTTCAACTTCCTCTAAAACTTTAGATTTTTGTTTTGATATCACAATCACTCCTTTAGCCACTTCAGCAGTCTTAAATGCTTCTTTGTTTTTAATAATTGTAGAGATTTTGCCACATTATATTCTTTAGCAATGTCAGAAACATGAGAATGACATTCATGTTTTGCAATTTCTTTCTTTAATGCTATGCTAAAACATTTTCTATGCCACTATCACATTTCTCTTTCTTGGGTGCCATATTGATTAAATATATAAATCACAAAACTGTAAAAAGAAATTTAACACAAACACTTGGAAAAGCAATGCTTACCTTGCGCACACCCTAACAGCAACTGAAATTTGACACAAAAAACCATTACATTCATTATCTAAATTTTGTCTGTTATCCAAGACAAAATTTTTGCAAAATAAAAGTTTGTTAAATGATTTGGTAGTTAACTAACCGAGGTTTCTCTGTAGTCATAGATAAAGTTTAAACAGGCATATTAAGGCAAGCAAGCACATAAATACTTTAATATTTTTCTCACTGCCATTGTCATCCTTTTTAATTAAGTGCAAGTTTTGCTTACCTATGTAACACGAAAAAGAACAATTTTTAATATTGACTCCCCAATATCAGTACACATTGTTCTATCGGAGACAGTATGACCAGAAAATACCAAAAGATGAGTCTGGCTCCGATAGCCAGACTCATCTTTTGGTATTTTCTATGGTATTATGTATTTTCTATGGTTACCTGTGGTATACCCTGTTTATCACAGCAGCATAACTTAGAACTAAGGATTGCTCAGGGTCTAGACTAGTGTTTTTCTACCTTTATCTCATGGCACACTTGAACCTATAATTAAATTTCCATGGAAAAAATTATGTGATTTAAAGTTGTGTTTGTAAATAATCTATTGTCATGTTGCTTGCCACTTAACCTAATTCTTTTTGTCTGTTTTTTGTAAATTAAATAAAACAACAGGTTGTTCCTTAAAATAGCAGTAAGTTACAATAATATTTATTTAAATTAATAATATTCATTTACATAAGAAATGCAATTAACATCAAGTCTTAATTTGCATTTAAAAGTGGCGTGATAATTGCCTTTAGAAACCTGTCCAACATCCCACTATATCTAAGTTAAAATAATTTAAACTAAGTATGGAGAGTTATACAGTAGACCCCCCTATAACGCGGTAGATATGTTCCACGTTGTAGGAATCCTTAAATACATGAGCCAATCACAGCCTGGCACATGTGCAGTTTACGGATTACGGCTGTTTGAAAGGTTTTCATCCATAAAATTAATCGATTCTTGACTAATTCGACTCAACATTTCCAAAACACATAATTTTTTGGGAATAATTTGTATAAACTATGCTATAAACAAAAAATTGTAGGATTACTTACCGAGTGTGCACTGTTCGACATCGCCATTGCTTAAGCTTGTTTTCGTCGCAGAGCAGCGCACCAAACGGTGGCCGCGATTTCTGATAAGTTATTTTTCTGTGAAAAATTCATTAAACTTTGGGGACATCATTAATAGAAATAATTTTTATGGCCATTGAATAAGAAATGTTTCTTTCACAAGAAATGTATAAAATTACAGTGCTGTATTAGACTTATGGTACCTAATTTACATACTGTACAGATGATAGTAAACTCAACTTACCTGTTTAAACTCTCCGTAGTGTGTAAGTAGTTCGGCTGCGCATCTATTGGTCCAGATTCGACCAATTCTGTCATGACATGAGTCGGCAATGACATTTTACTGCATTTTATGTGCCCCTTTTAGCGTCTTTATACGAATACTGTTGCAATTTTTTCGCCGCATTATAGGAATCTGTGTTATAGGAACCTGCGTTATAGGGGGTCTACTGTAGATACATTTTTGATTTTTAAAAAATTTTATTTTAAATGAAATAACCCATTGTTATGCTCATATATAATTTTGCTTATGAATATATATTTTTACTACATTATGTATATGTTTATTTATTATAACAATGAAAAACTCATATAATCAATTTAAAGAGGTTCTAACTTTGATATTTACACTTATTGTTCTTTGGGTTTCTTTCAAAAATTTTCACAGAATACCAGTTGTGGCTAATTTTGGGAGCTATACTTCTATGATTAAATTGATTAGTATTATCTGATTATTATTATTTCATTAAAATTTTTAATTTAGTTTTTCTAAAAATTATTATTATTTCATTAAAATTTTTAATTTAGTTTTTCTAAAAATTATTATTAAATTCACCAGAATTAAAAATCAAAACCTAACAAATATTAATAAAATTTTTTAATATAGAGAGTACATAGAAAATTATGATGATGATCATCATCATCATATTCATACTACTTATGAAATCATTATATATTTCCAACAATTATACAAAAATGATTTCAAAATATTTTTAAATTTTACTAAATTCTTGCATATTATACTTATCACATTTTAAGTAGGCTTAAGAGTAACTTGTATGAAAATGCTCTACTTGTAGGTGTAAACATACAATTTCTTGTATTGTATTGTAATATATCATGAAAATTTTGTATATATTCTACATGAAAGCTAATCACTGAAATTATTTGAAGCAGTTACATTCATTGTCATATCTGAAAGATATTTTAACAAAAATAAATTGATACTCTCAAAAATTAATGTTTATAACATGTACAATTTGTTTTATTTAATTATGCACATATAAAGTTCAAAATATAGAATTTCTGATTTGTTGAAATCCAGTAATTTTTAGTGTCTGAATGACTAACAAAATTTCCTCTCTAACAAAAATTCAATAACAACTACATTATGTCCATGAACATTCACATATACAAATAGAATTTTAATAATAATAAGGTAGTTTTACAAAACTTAAAAATATACAGTGCACTCTCACTGATCCAACATATGATCGAACAATCTCACTGAACAACATATAATAATTAGTTTTAATTATTATATGTTGTTCAGACAAAAAATTTACACACCTGATACTACCTCTTACGTAATGGAAAGGACCCTCCTAACCCCATCAGACGCCCTGGAATCATAATTATTATATGTTGTTCAGACAAAAAATTTACACACCTGATACTACCTCTTACGTAATGGAAAGGACCCTCCTAACCCCATCAGACGCCCTGGAATCTATAGTATCCCCGTGAAGGACAACAGGTGCAATAGGAACCTGATTTATATAGGCTCCACCAAACGATCTTTGAGAGTCAGAATACAAGAGCATCTAGCCGATATTCGGCACGGAAGAACTTCCACGGCCCTCACCACGTATGTAACCGATCTGGATATAGTAGCGAACTTCTCCCAGGCCATTCTCCTCCACGATTCGCCTCCTATTGAACACCTTAAATGGCTAGAGGCACATATTTATATCCTCCACCACCAACACATGCATAAATTTTAAAGAGGAGATGCTGTTATCGATGGCCTGGCAGGAGTTAATTCACAACACGCTCTAATTCACCCATCAAACTCTGACAGGCAAACTGGCCGCACATGCGCAACTTGGATTGTGTGAATTCTTCGAACCTACAATTCGAACTCAAGCTTTAAACGACATGATCGAACGGATTTCTACTTCTAACGGATATCGAACATCTTTATAGAAACTGAATGGAACCTTAAGCAGAGCCCTGAAGGGGTTCGAAAACGTTTGTTTACCAATCTTTTGCATGATCACACCATAAATGGTTCAGGTGTGTAAATTTTTTAGTAATTCCGGTGTGATAAGTAGTAAATTTTTTGTGTTGTTCAGACAAATGAAATTTTCAGATTAATTGGGTTTAATATGGATATCAAAAAGCACTAGTCAGATACATATTTTTAAACATTTTTTATACTGTAGTTGATACACGTATTCTTGTTAAAATGTACAGTACATATTAATTTTATAAATCATTTTTCAAAAAATATGACTTCTTTTTGTTTTTGGCTGGAACATATAGTGGAAAAATGAACAGAATTAGTTCAATTGAGTGCATTTGAATGAACAAGAATGCACTAACAGATCTGTGCATTTTTCCTAAATGTCAGAAAATTTCTTTACATAATTTTAAATAATTCAATAGCATTCATGTGAATATTAAATCTATATTTGGTAATTTTAATGTTTCTATTAAATTATACAGAAAAACTTAAGGCCCCAAACAACAGGAATCATAGTTTATAACTATTAACAATTACATCAATAAAATTATATATAATATGAGTCTTTGAACAAAATTAAATTATTACTTATTGAAACATTTTTTGATGTTTTAATTATTTTTTATTTTTATGAATATGAGGAAATAATCTATTTGTGTTTATTTTCAAGTTTCAATTTTTTTCTTTTTGAATAAGCTGATGTCCTTTAAAAAATTTTTAAATAAAAATTTGCAATTAATATAGTAAAATAAAAATTTGTGTGTAGAGAATCCAGCCTGCATTCACAGATTCTCTAATGCTGGTTTGTTATACCGAATTGAAACAGTCAAATATCTTAGCAAAAACTAAACTTTAATCACACTTGATCATGTACAGTAGAAACTCAATCCTATGCAGTTAACAAGATTCTTCTTATCGTTTCTTGCCCACTTTTGAACTCCACCATTTCTCCTCTCTTCACTAACTCTACCATCCTCCCAACTCTCTTTCTTCAACTGGTGTCCCTCTCTCCACTTTTCCCTCTTTTTCTCTCCTTTTTTATGACTCTTTGTTTACCCTCGTTAATTATTTTCATGACTGCTTGTAAAGAGGTTGGATATGTGCCAACAAGACAGCAGTCAGGGGGAAAGAGTAGGTTCAATATCACTACATCATATAACAATACAGAATAAACAATTTTTCTGATATTTCTATGAAATTATTTCTAGTGTAACAGAAAATATCACAATTAACTTGTAAGTAAAAACAAAATGTAATATTTTTATACAATACTACAATCATTTCAAGGGCATTACACTATAGTTTATAGCCAGGGTGGCCAAGCTCCTTGATAGTCCGAGCCATTTTTCAAAATTTGAAATTTTTCGCGAGCCGCAATTAAATACGTATTAAAAAGGTGCGCAAAAATTCCAGATTACAAATTATATCTGTAGCAAGAGTGATACAAATTGTTTCCTCCAGAGCACAATGTCAACTGTCCTTTGCAATGACAGTTTACAAATTCAAAGTCGGTCGATAACGAACAATTACACCACTGTTTATGTTCGTTCGCACGGTTTTCGATGAGTCATATCATTCTTAACTTGGACAGAAATGAAATTTGTTACAACGTTGCACTTAGTCTTTCATATTTGTTGTTAGTAATTTAAAAGACATTTTGAAACACATACGGAACGATAATAATTTTTAAAAATATAATAACACAAAAATGAAAAGGGAACTCGGGTACATTTATCGAGAGCCACAAATAATCCTTCAAAGAGCCGCATGTGGCTCGCAAGCCACAGGTTGGCCACCCCTGGTTTATAGCATTTTATTTAATAACAACTATAGATAAAAAAGTTTTACTATTTGCTAATTTTCTATGAATTCATTCATTTTAACCAATTTATAAGTGGCATTGCATATGTCTTTTTAAGCGACTATTAATAGGAAATGTTTTCTGGCAAAGATGACAAACATAAGGGCCTTCATTGGTGTGGGTTTTTAAATGGTAATTCAGTGTGTTTCTGTGAGCAAATGTCTGTTTGCAAAAACTGCAAGTAAAAGGTTTTTCTCCAGTATGAATTCGAAGATGTATTTTCAAACTTCCTTTTAATGAAAACCTTTCAGAGCAAACATCACAACAAAAAGGTTTTTCTCCTGTATGGATTCTGAAATGTTTCTTTAAATGAATTTTTTGACTAAATCCTCTTTTGCAAACATCACACATGAAGGGCCTCTCTCCTGTATGAGTTCTTAGATGTATCTTCAAAGTACTGTATTTTTTAAATCTTTTTTTACAAATTCCACACAGAAATTGCTTCTCTGTGCCTTCAGAGTCTTTACACACTGTAAAAGATACAGTAAACATTTAATTCTCATTTGTATTCACAGCAGGAATAACTTTTCTAATTTTCAATTATAATACAATAAACATAATATAAAGATTATTATTATTGCATTGAATAAATGATTTTTTTTTAACTGCAATTTCCAAATTGCAGACTTATACATTCCCATTGTTGTCCATGTGAATGTCCTTTGTTAATCTTGATAATGGAGTTAGATTAAAAAAAATCAAGACCAGATATGGAAAAATTAATGGCCAGAGGCTCTAATTAATTATATATGAATTTCCAGTCTGGACTGGAAGTCACATAATTTCAATTCAAAAATTTTCTCCAGAATGTAGTTAGTTAGATGACCAGCATGACTCAATTGTTATTGAGAGAAGTATGATATACAGGGACAAGATACTACTAAAATTCAGACCAAATATGGAAAGCTTAACATATACAGTAAATTAGGGGCCAGAGACCCTAATTAACTGTATATAAACTTCTGGTCCAGACTGGAAGTCACATGATTTTTTAAAAAATTAAATAATGATTAAAGATTACAGCCAAATTTCAGTTATTAAAAGTTTTATTATGTATTATTAAATAATCAACAACATATCTATAAAGGAAAACAATACCACTTATTTTAGAAATCTGTATATCTGTTTCACTTATAACTATTTCAGTTAGTTTACTTCCATTGCAACACCATTTATCTGTTTATATACTAAATTATTATACACAAAGAAATCATCAGCTAGTGGAAATTTTATCCACTCAGTAATGTTACATTGATTATTTCTTTAATGTATTTATCATATCTGTTAGTCTTTTAGCAAGATGTAAATATAGAAAGCCATTCATTTGGATATTTTTTAATAATTTAAAGTTGAAAAATAAATTGCATATTTAACTTTTATTTGTATTTATAGTTTTCTTAGCTATGAATGAAGAAATAATAAAACATTACCATAACAAAACTGGATGTGCCATTATCATCTTCCAGAATGGGAATTGTTTTCATCTCAAACAACTATAAACACAAACTGATTTGGAAAGTATTTAATAAATATGTAACTAATATCAAAATATATGCAAATTGCAACAAACTGTTAAATAAAAATATGCTTTAAATTCTGAAAATCATTGACTAAATCTTCAAAGTGAGACAGAAATAATGGAGCACTTCTGGTTGTTGGAGTGGAAAGTTAGACTTACATGATTAGCAGAATATAGACCATGTGTCGTAAATGAAACTTTGATTTTGGTTGGCTGTGTTATGTTACTTTTATAACAACTTCTGCAACACAAATTTCCCTAATGACTGTTGAACATTGACATTATTCACATCAAAAAACTTAATTCTAATGTCAATTTACATTTACTCAAACTGCTTTAATTTTTTTGCAGAGAAATAAGTGTTAATTTTTAAAAATTTATTATTACAACATATGACAGAATGCATAAAACAACTATCAGCATTTACCTAATACATTTATGAATCAATTTTTTTTTTTTCAAACAACTTTTTGAATCTTCCAGTTTGAACATTATACTATTCATTCACCCCCCTTTTTTTACCAAAATACATTTTCAGGTATTTGAGAATTAAATAGAATCACCAATTTCAAAGTTCATTAGGAACATTTTTATCTTATTAATATTTTAAATAAAGTTCTATTACAAACTTTCCAGGATGATAAATAATCTGAAAATGATTTAAAATCCAAGATTTTAATTTTGTAATCCAAAATATGTATTGTTTTTTCACATAAGTGGGAAGCTCATCTTACAAATGTAAAGTGCACCCTACATTGAAAATGCAGCTGCAAAATGTTAATGCATTTCTTAAAGTGTTTTATTTTGATGTTTACAGTAATTCATGACATTCACATTTTTGAATGTATCTGAATGTATTCATTTATGACTCCATTATCAGAAAGATATCTGTAGACCAATACAAAATCACAGTCAAAATTACTATATAATCAATGTTTTGACAGTGAGATTTCACATTAGTATGCACAAGCATAAAATTTACCAGATTCAATGTATCACACTGAATTATCTGTTCACATGTTCTTCAGCATAGTGAATAACTTTCTGCTTAAAAATAGCTTTATACAAAAGATTCATCTGTTGGACATGTTTCAGTTTGCTGTAGTTCAAAAGGCCATCAAACCATTCCAAAACCACAACTAAAACAAAAATAGTGGGAGGGACACATACCACGTCTTTACCAATGTCATAATACTGTACATGCAAATTGCTAAGTAGAATGAAGAGAAAATGATGCAAATGAGACTGCATTAAATAAACTTCATGCCTAATTCTAATGTGCACCCCAATTTTTGAGATCATAAAAGTAAAAACAAAAAAAGAATCAAGAAAACAAGATAAGCAAAATCACTATATAGGTCTATACATAAGAAATTATTCATCAGAATGACATGAAACATGATACACATGTAAAGCAATACATCCTTTAATAAACAAAATAATTAGATTGTAAAGATCTACAAAATAGGAAATAATACCGCCAAAAAATACAGTAATTATTTTAATGCATATAATGGTTAATATAGTGAGTGGTTATCCTTTGCAAACACATGTTCCACAGCAATTTACTGATCTCAGTTACTACATTGTTTATCATCAGCAATATGATCCATTCTTGAAGGCAAGCAGAAGTTCAAGAAGGATTTATGATGGAGGCCAACAGGATACAATGCAACCTTCCTAAAGCATCTACACATTCAGATCCCAAGACATTTTTTTGTCCCTCCATACAGCAAATATCTTCAATTATAAGAAACTCATTAACCAGCACAAGGATATGTGCAGAAGCATTATCATCCATAAAAAGAAAGTCTAGATTCATGACACCTATATAAAGTTTCTTGATTCGTTTTTTGAAACCGTGTTTTTGTATTTATTTACTATTGAACACAAGACTGTGTTATTATTAAAACACTTGGCGTTTATCCACTTTATTCAGTTGAGAAGGCCTTCTCAACTGAATAAAGTGGATAAACGCCAAGTGTTTTAATAATAACACAGTCTTGTGTTCAATAGTAAATAAATACAAAAACANATCTGTATTGTATGCTTCTTGAACCTTTGATAAAATTTTATAATATAGAATTTCTTTTGAATTTTTTGCTTCAAAAAATAAGTTCGATTGATAGTATAAGAAACTTTGGAGTTCAGTACAATCAAAACTTTAAATAGAAATATCTACACCAGCATTTCTCAATGGGGGCGATATCGCCCCCATGTGGGCCTTTTTACATGTTGAGGGGCAATTAGTAACAATTTATATTTTGGGGGCGAAAAACAATTTTCTGGGCGATATAGTAAAACATTATATTAAGAATAATTAGATATTTTATGTTACATTGTACAATAATTAAACAAATAACATTATACTAGTCATTAGTCCAGGCATGGCCAACATACGGCCCATCTAATGAATTTATGTGGCCCGTGATTAATCTTTCAATATTAGCTACTTAAGTCCGAATATCTCGACAAAAAATTCTGACACCTAAAAATAAAAAGTCAACAAGTAACTGTGCACGCTCCATTACAAATGTCTTCAGCACAGCGTAGTATGTTGATAATGCATGATAATGTGAAAAATGTATGTGTAATCTCTATGTACAATTTAGTCTCTATGGGGTGACATAACAATGAGATCTCGCATCACCTCAAAATCTTGTTAGGGCAGCTCAACTGAATAAAGTGGATAAACGCCAAGTGTTTTAATAACAACACAATCTTGTGTTCAATAGTAAATAAAGTTTCTTATGGGATTCCAGGAGTTCATCCCCATAATTTTTCTAATAATTGTACCCATTGAAAAAATGTGGAGCTCTATGTCCATTGAGCATAATGTCTCCTATCTTGACATCTACATCTCCAAATTGGTCTTTATTCCTGATGTTAATTGGATTTTAGCAAGAACCCTGCTTTCTTTATATTGTGGTGAGATAACAATCAGTTTGTAAACAATATCTTAACTTCTTTGCAGGGACACTCATTCATTGGGACACTTGTCTCCCCTTTTTGTCTAGGTTATCATCATAATTCCCAAGGGATCCCAAATTTTGTTATCAACAAACAATAGAAAATTCATGACTTCTAGCCTATTCTGCAAATATAAAAAACTAATGAATGATATTTGCCCATTGTCCCTTGTAACTATTACTTTCCTGGTAGTTATATATATAAGAGAAGAAAAGTATGGCAATCAATTGAAAAATGAAACCCCAAGATTTTTACATTTGGAACTGTGAAACGTTGATAAATTAAAAAATGTTAAAGGTTTTTTCCTACATGTATAAATGTTTGTGTATGGGAAGAGACACTCACTTTAAAACTTAATAAGTTCTGTGTCTTTTATCAAAAATTTCTGAAATTTTGCAGGATGGTTTGTGTATTAGGGATCGTTATTAAATTTTGGTGATTAAAGGTCAAGGGGTGAGGAGGGGTTATGTATCATATCTTGAGTAGGGCTAGACTCAATGATAATTTTACTCATTATTGGGCTGTAATTTGAAAAAATTGTAGACCTATAAATTCCCACTGCCATCCATCCACCTGTCTGTTCTTCCTTAATCTCAAAAACAGAGTTAGATAGATGAAAGCCAAGACCAGATATGGAAAGTTTAGGAGCAGGATGATCTGATTAATATATACAAACATAACTTGAACTTACCAACAACAATCAGGAAATGGCAAACCAATGCAAACCAGAAGTCATATTTCAATTCAAAAATTTCTACTGAAAGGAGTTAGATACATGACTGGCATGACTCTCTTGCAGGAAAAGTATGATGTAGAGGGGCAAGACACAACTAATTTGAGGAGGAGAGCATATAATTTAAATTAAATAAATTAAAAATATGATTAAAAATTGCAGCCCAGCATTGTAATAGTGTCACAATAAATAATTGCTCATTAACATATATAGCTTTCTTTTTTTTGGAAAGTTATGCAACTTATTGCTGGATTTTTTAATGTAGTTATTTGTTTGTTGTATATTGACCAAAACCAAATTCCTTGTTTCAATGCCAAGTTAGCACAGAGTGCAACCAGTGCCATATTGTGGAAACACTGATCTAACATTGAATCATAGAGTTTGAAGCTTCTTGTCTAAGGATACATTCACACATTTGCTATTCACTGAATGCTAAATATTCTACTTTCACCAAACTATTTATCACTCAGCAAACACACATTTGATTATTTGCCAAGCATTGATTCATTGTGGGAAGGATGAATGATTGTCCAAGATCTAGAAAATGGGCAATTCTCAAACAATAATTTATGCTGTTGCTTTTATAGTTAGTAGTTTATATCTGTTAATGAACAAAAAAGTCTAAAAGAATATATTAATATTGCAATATACATATATCAACATCACAAAGCCCAATGTTTTAATAATAAGCAAAATGATTGCTGTATTTTAATTGGGCTACTGCTACTAATAAGAGATGGGCACGTAATGGTTCTAGCACCAAATTACTCCAAATTTAATTATTAATAGTAGCAGTAAAGTATCCCAATTAAAATACAGCTATTGTTTGGCTTACTAATCTGTATTACAAAAAAATATCACGGGAAAAAAGTACATAGAAAAAATAAATTAAATTTTGATAACTTGAAACCGTGTCATGTTTCTATTGTTGTTTCTAACACACAATGCAGTGTAATTTAGCGATCACAATTTTAACACTTTTAAACAAATTTTAACAATTTTAGTTGACTGAAGAGGGGCGTATTAGGCCTGAAACGTGAAATGTATACGTGTATCAACTGAAATAAAGATGAAAGTAAGCCAGGTGATCGCTAAATTACACTGCATTGTGTGTTAGAAACAACAATAAACTAAATGTTTATACTATAAACCAAATAAAAAAAATAAACTAAATTCAAAAATAAGAGACTAGATCTAGTTTAAAAAAGACTAAAATAGAAAATTGATGACCCAAAACAAGAAAATACATGAATTTGTGGAAATTAATATTTGTCTACTTGATTCAGCACATTTTACCAAGAAGAATCAGGAAATGGCAAATACTAAACATTCATCATGAGTAAAAGCATCCACACTACTCAGTATTCACCAAACGTTTGTTCAACATTCAGTGAATAGCAAATATGTAAACACATCCTAATGTACTGGTACAATGCCCTTTAGTCTGAGGGCACCACTGCTTGTTGATGAACAGAACATGGCTTCACAGATTCACAATCCTATTGTGATGTTTCTGACTCCACCTTAAATGCCCTTCTTTGTGCAAGGGACAGTGAAACACAAACTAACTTATGCCTGGTGAAGAAACCATACAAGTGAAACCTGGCAGTTTTTCATAAAACTTTTATTCCTGATGCTATTGACAACTCTGCAGTTCTACACATTTTCATTACAATGTACAGTTAACATCAAATAACAGTCTATTAAAGGGTTGTAATTCTTTAACTTCTACTTCTTGTCATGTATCTAACTTCCTCTGTTGTTTGGAACCTGTGTCAAAGTCTGGATAAAATGCATTGTGATATTCAGTGTCCTTGACACTTCTGTCTTCTAAAATCCTGTTTCCAGCATGCCAATAACACTGCCTTTCATAAAATCATCTGTGTGACATTGTGTGCTATCATCATTCCCACCATTATCCTTAATGGTCACAGAGCAAAAATAACAATGATATTTTAAATGCAAAATCAGCTGTATTTATGGCACTGCATAAATTTGTTTTTTTTTTTTTCTTTATAACTGTAGAAAAAATATCACCCATTGTATAGAGAAATCAATAAGTTCCAAGACCATGTTTGCTACCTGTATTGTTTGTTAACCGATTATGGATTTACCATAGATTTTTATGTTCAAATTGATTAATTCATTCTGGAGACCCCAAAAAATAAATTATTATATACTTTCTTACTATGTTTATTTACATAATAACAAACTAAAAGCAATCTCTCAATTTTTTCATGGATGGCACATCTTTGTTTCTCAGATGCGATTTTTGTTATTCCTTTATATGCTTGAGTCTTTTTGATTATATCTTTCTTAGCTAAGATTGTGCCTACTGTAGCACCTACTGCCTGGCAGCATCAGACATCTTCCCACTTTTTATCTTGGCTATTATCTCTTGTTTAGTTTCTATAGTGAACATAGTTCTTGACACTCCACTCTTTTTAGTCCCCATAATATTATCAGTTTTCTTTAAAAAAGTGCAAAAAAGCACTTACAAAAATTCAGAAAACACAAATTAACTAGTGCAAAAATAGGTTATGTGAAAGTCTTGTTCCATAAACCATTCATAGATGCCATTAAAATATGATTTTACAAATGTTAAATGCAGTGTCACTTTTTGTGTTTGTTCTGTGAGGCATTCGTTATCTGAACATGTGTTTGTCGTCCGAACATAAAAATCTTTCGTGTAAGTGTTCGTTATCCGATTTCTTCACAGTCCAAACTGTTTGTTAACTGATCACCCACTGTATATATGATAACCCTATATACATTTTTCTGCTGTTAGTTGTATTAATTTTTGCAGTAACTTACTGATTATGCTTAAATTTTTTTGGATACCATGTAGCACAATAAATTACAATCTAGCTGAATAATCTACAGTAAAAGTAAACTGCACTTAATTATTAGATGATATCTATTGAATTTTATTCTATGAACTCAAATAACTATTTTAAATAAAACTGAAATGAATATAGAATTTTGTTAGCTGAATCATAAAAAATGAGAGCTAACTCTTTTATTGTCTAGTTTATAGCAAAAATATTACATATCTGTTTAATTGTTTTAAAACATATAATTTGAATAAATATATTCCATTTAAGTTTTAGTAAATATTATGACTTATCAGAACATTTTAATATATGAAATTAAATGCTATTATTAAATTACATATTGATTAAATCAAATTTCCTACCTTTATCACCTTTCTGTGGTAATACAGACCATGAACTTTGTGAATAATTACTTGGACCAGGTAATGAAGAAATTCCTGGGAATACATTATTATTTTTAAATGATGCAACTGGTAAATTTGTAGATTCATCAAATCTTAATATTGGTTTGATATCTGAAAATTAAATGTTTTCTTTCACTCTACTTTTATTCTAATTAAAGTAAAACTTATGTTACAATAAATTCAATCTAACATATATGTGTTTGAAAAGTCAATATTCAATTTCAGTCATGTTATAATTGTGAGGACCCAACTGAGGTTCAAATCATGTAAATTGCGATATTCCTATGTTTAAATAATAACGATAGATTAAAAATGAGAGGGGGAGGAAAATCCCTTAATCTAAACAACGTGGCACAAAATGTAGACAACGAGTCTTGGATGACTCGAACACGTGTTAAACGAACTATCAATGTCAGAGTGAAAAGTTATAAGTCAGAGACAAGTGGTCATATGCAGGTAGAACTTTGACCCCAGCGCTCATAAACAGTCAATCTAGGGAAACAATTTCTGAAAAGAGGGAAAGATTTAAGAGAGATAAATCATTGCATATGATCGTTTGAGTACCCAGATGACAGAAATTGCGAGTAACGGAGCTAAATTATGAGCGCAAATCTTGCAATTTTATCAACAATCCCCAAGAACAATTGACAGAATAGTGTCCAGTAGACAGCTGGAATTGGACCTTTCCCGTGACCCGAGTCGGTCTCGGTTTTCTCCAAAACAAAAGAGACCAATCAGGAAGTGAGGAAGGGAACGAGGGGCCAATCAAAAGTCCGAATAGTGGGAGAAAAATTATAAAAATCGGAAAATCAAGGTCAAGAGGGCTCTCCTCCGACTCCCCGAAACGTTGCGACTAAGATTGTGGTGTGTCGTCGGCACGAACTTTGGACTCCACCGCTTCCGACTTCATCTCGTCCGCCCCAGGGCCAACCAGACGTAGACCTCCTTGTCTCTCTACATCGCTGACGAGAACTAGTGAAGGACTGTCGATTGTCAATGTAAGCATAAATGTTAACAAATAAACGGCTTTCTTGTGTAAAACACTTGTTATCATTTGCCTCCTCCGTCACAGCCCACATACAACCTTCCCTTAGGTTCATCCTGATGCGGGATTAATAGCTCCCATCTAGAAGACGGCAACCTTACACAGGTGCCATGAAGTGGGTTTCAAGTCCCCTACTTCCCCCGAGTCGGCCATCTTACATAATTAGACTGACCATGATTTGTTGATGACATAATGGGATGGGAGAATTATAGCCAATAAATAGAAGCTCTCTCTTATTAAAACTCTATCAAAGAAATACAGATAGTCTTTGCAAACTGCAGAACATAAAACACCTTCTCTGTCGTGGAGTCACCATTTTTGTTTACAGTGCATCCTTTAGGTAGACAGGAAAACATTTGAATGCAGATGAGAGATGAAACTTGGACAGTTACCTACAGATTGGTGTACATCACATACTTATTAGTAAGTGATATATACCAATCAAATAACCTCTTTGTCATATATTTGAGAATTTAACCACCCCATGAAACTTTTTATATTTTATATATGTCTGTAATATTTCAATTAAGAAGTCATTATAAAAACCTACATTAAACTACATCAAATAATACAAAATATGTTTATAATATTATATGTACAGTATTTTCTAAAAGTAGAGTGATCAAAATAAAATATATATTTTCAACAACCTTAAAAATTGTACATAACAACTTTCAAAATAATAAGATTAAATTATAAATGTAAAAAAACCTCGCATGTGGGGATCAAACCTGCAAACAAAACCTCTGTGTGTGATGCCTTAATGAAAGGATGATTTTCAGGTTCCTTTTTGTTTGATTTTTATCAATAATACTGATTTTCAAATATGCCATACTTTTCTATAAGTTCTTTTTTTAAGAATACTATGATGTAAGCTGATGATTCTATGATGATGTAAGCTTTGATGCAAAGAATCCTGATGTGAAGCAATGCACATCAGTAATAATTAAAGATTACTAAAACTTTTAGCCTCTAATAAATATTTTCAGAACATGATCACTTAATACAAATCAATGATATAATATAATATATAATATTTAAATAACATAATATATTATATGATTGTCTTACCAGACATATCTTGTTCTCTTAATTCAGATTGTTTATTCAATAAATAATTAGTTTGACTAGGTAAAATAAAATCATCTGTAGAATTATCCATATATTCACTATTTTCTTCATGTGACGAACCTTTTGATTCATGGCATGTCAAACTAGATTTAATTTCTAAAAATATTTTTAAAAAAATTCACTGATTTAGCAGTACTTTATATTATAAAAAAATCAAATAATTTATAAATACATGTATACTTTTATTTGTAAATGAAAATATATAAGAAGATTGAAGAAGAATTCTGTAACTTCTTTGTAAATCCATTTTGCCATACATGTGACCCAAATAACAACTGAAATCATAGAAATAGACAGAAGTAAAAATATATGAGATTTTATGTATTATAATTATGTCCAAAACAAACAGATTTAAGTTACATTAAGGATAACAATGTTAACTTGCTGCCAGTCTGTACCAAAGGATATGATTTTTTTTATATTCTTATTTTCTTATATTGACTAATTTGCACTCTTTTTTGATCTTATGATCCTAACCTACAGTTCTAAGGCCATTATTCATATGTGACAAAAATTAACATTTATCTATTTGTTGTTGCAAAAAATTAATTATTAATCATCTTACAATGTCAAAACATTGTTATTACAGTTTTGAATGATATTTGTTTGTGTGGATAACTTTAGTGTGAACTTTTATTGAGCAAAGGTTATTTGACCATGATTTATGAGATAGCATGCTTTGTGAAAATTTTCATTAAAGATTCTCTGGCTCAGCAACAGAGGATCTGAGTGATAATTGCAAGATCATTGGTTCAGATCTCTGTAAATAAACTTTTTTTCAAATCAATGTAATTTTTACATAAAAAGAAAATTGTAAAGTTACACAGGTTTATATATTTTATCTATTTTTTTTTTTTTTTAATTAAAAATATGCATTTTCTATTTCTTGAAAATTTATCTTCAGAATTGTTTAAAATAAATTTAAGGTTTGTTTTTAAAATTGGAATTAATTTAACTATTTTGTAGTTTTATTATTCTTACTTCATAACTTTAATTTGCTTTTACTGTCTGCTTTTTTTATTAGCTATGAAAAAAAATACTTATGATATAAACAACAAGAAACAAGGGAAGTGACATTGAAAGAGGATTGTTTAATGTCACATCTGACAATTCAATGTGATATTGGGAAAGTTATAACTAATAATTTTTTGAGTTTATTTAATTACTTAAAATGGAAAATTGGAAAATTATTCATAATATTCTAACATTCCAAAATGTAAAACTTTACATTTATTTTTAACAGACAGAATTTATTATGATAAAAATAATTGAAATTCAATTTTGTTAAATAATGTAATTATTGCTGAATAATCTAAATATAGGATGATCAATCACTTAATTTTTGTAAATTTTTATCACAGGATACATTTTAAAAAAGTTCTTATCAAGAATTCTTTTAAATGTATTATGAGATAAAAACTAGTTAGCAGTGCTCTTTTTCTTAAAAAACTTCTGCTACTATACATGTATAATATTGTTCTGTATAAATGTTTATTCAGTTATTACTGAACAAACAGCATTGTTTTTTGAGATGCTATCACCAGCCAATTGCTTCTCATTTATCTACATTTAGGAGTTTTATCCATCTCAATAACTGTGAATGGTCAAACACAGTCACACCTCTAGCCATTTGCTGATTTTATTGCTTCTTTGTTCTTAAGAATGGTGCATACCATCAACTTCAGCATCTTAAACATCATTACCAAATCTGTCACACATGCACCACTTTCAGGTTTTGTAATAACTTCTTTTTTCACCTCAATCATTGATACAACAACCTTCCTCTTAGCTTCATTGCTTCAACACTCTTCTTGGGTACATGGTTAATAGATAGGGGTTATAAATACAGTAGAGCGTCAATTTTCCGAATAAATTGGGGACTGGGGTTGTCCGGATAACTGATATTTCAGATAACTGATTTACGTACAAAAAAATAGTTTAACGTATCCGATGTCAAAATTTTTCTCCGTTGCGTGTCACTTCGCGTTGAATTTTCGTCGATGTTAAGCCTAACAAAGACTATTGTATCATTAAAAATTATTTTTTTATTTTGTACAAACAAAATAAATATATTGAAAAATATAAAAATAATAAAAAATTATACTTCAGATGTTAATTTAGTATCAAACACGTAAAATATTTCAGTAGCCCAAGACATAGCCAAAGATTGAAGCGCCACAGCATTGGTGAAAATTTAAAATTGCCGACTGGAATTCTTTCGGATGATTGATTTTCGGAAAATCGACGCTCTACTGTATAATGAAACACACCAAAAATAAAAAAAGAAAACATTGAAAACATGAGCATAATGCAAGAGATGCTTTCATAGTGAGTACATTTTTTCATTCCACATGCACTTTAAATGTAGAAGCATCATTCAATCTACAGATCAAATTTCTCTTGAATTTAGTGTTCAAACTGCAATGTTTAAAGTTAGAATCATTTGAAGTACAAAGTACCACTGAATATAATTTGAATATCTATTCATAGTGCAAATTCTTAGGACTTGCATAAAGAAAAATTATTAATATTGATTTACTAATGTAAAAAAATGTCTGATACATTAATGTAAGTTATTCATAATAATATAGATGTTTGTGACAACTAATGAATATTTATATCAAAAAATGTTTTAAAAGAAATGAAATGTTTATAGAAAGTAAATACTGTGATTATAATCAATAAACACTGTCTGAAAAAAATTAATTACTCTATTACATTTGTATTAGTCAATAACTAGTATTAAGAAAGCATTGTTACAGTCAAGTGGCATATAAAGAACATTATCATTATGTAATTATATTATTAAAGTTAATTACACTAGATCAGGCCTGCCAACATAGTGTGATGTGATTGACTTTCAAGAGTCAAAAGCATCAATGTTCTGCTCTCCATTTTTGTTTCATAAAAGAATAATAACTCACAATAATGAAAATATTTTGCAAAACATAGTTGTATTTATGTATTGCACAGTAATTAATGTCCCAGGTTATCTCTTTTTGGTAGACACTAAATACAAATTAAAAGACAATTCATTTTTCACGATAACAAAAAATTGTATTTCCATCACACAAATTATAAGTTTTGCACTGAACTGAATTGTTTATGGTACAGTAAGACAATTTCTAAAATAACAACTTATCTGCATAGCAATGACCATCAACACAAAGGACCCTTCTTCCTATTCATCTCACAGAGCACAGTTACCAATCCATAGAAACTGATTACAGATTTCTCTGTGAAAAATATGGATTTAATATTTGTATTAAAATTATGTTTCTCACATTTTAAAGAGCCATATTACATGCAATTGATTGGTCAATCACGTTCAACTTGTTGGCCATGCCTGCACTATCAATAGATCATATTGCTGAATCTACTAGAATAACCAGATTGCACAAAACTTAATTTGTATTTATAAATATAAAATAAAAAATAAATTTAAATTACTTACTTACATTTGTTTCTTCACTAATCCTGTCAGTAAAATTTGAATATTCATTGTAATTGCTGTCATCATCCGAAGCTTTTTCCTCTTTTATACACACATCAGAATGCATAATTGATGGGTTAGATGAATCATCATCATGACTCTGACTATTTAAATCATCATCAATTACTACTAACTTTCTATTTGAATCAATGTTCATTTCAGAAGATTCCTTAGTAGATTTTTCATTATCTGAGTCATTTATTTTTGAATTATGACATTCTAAATTATGAGAGTTTGTATCTGATGAACTTTTTTCTTTATTGCTTTTTTCATTTTTTTCTACAGCATGTAGTATCATATTATATCGTGGCTGAATTGGAATAAATGGCGAAGGAACATACTGAAATGTATAAACCAGCTGTTGTTGTGATGATACCAAGTTTGGTGCAGTTGTTTGAGCTTCGTTATTTGAAATAGGTTGTTCATCATCTTTAACCTCTTCTAAGCCTTTTATATTCAGTAATTTTGCTAATTTAATGAGTCCTGTCAGCTGATCTCGAGTCACTTTAATTTCGCCTTTATATACAAAATCCAATACTGTTTTCAATTCTGTGTATTTTACATCTTTCATGATTACAATTGGATGCTTACATGGGTTTTCCAAAAATAAATTCTGAAAAAAGGAACTGCAAGCAGAAAGAATAATTTTGTGAGCTTTTAGTCTTACACCTTCACATGCTAATGTTACATCCACAAATGTTTCATTTGTAAGCAATTGATCAAACACAGCAATCATATTTGGCTGATGATTATTCCATTTCACATAAAATTGTTCAGAACCCATTGTAAATATCCTAAATTTTATAATGAATAAATAATCTGAAAATATTTAAATAAAACATTTATTTTATATATATATTATAAAATTAACAAATAAAACAAGTATTTAATATATCATTATAATAAGGTTAATGTTTTAATGAAAAGAAACAATATAATTAAATCAAAAAGCAAATTTTCTTTTTTATCAATTTAACTTTAGATACAATTCACACAAGTAGCTTTGCAATAAACATGATTTTTACCAATTTTTCTAATGTTAAAAAGTTCTTAATAGACAAAAGCATTTGGTTAAATAGAATTATTTTGTAGTTGAAGTTATTTTTTTTTAGTTAAAACTATTTATGGGTCAATAAATCAAACACAATTGCTTTATTGGAATATATTATACTAAATATAAGCATCCAGGTGCTTTCACACTTCAGTCCATCCTAAGGGACTAGAATCAGAATTTTAAAAAATATTTTCTTTTTAAGAACATTTTTCCTCCCTAATAAAAAACTTATTTTTTTAAGAAAAAAATTAGGAACAGCTTGCTTTTTATTTATACAAATATTTATAAATAAAAACCAAGCAGTTTCTGAATCAATAATAGTTACTTGAAAAATTTTTAAATTATTGTTCTTGATTAGAAAAAATTTGGTAATAAATTAACAATGAAGTTCAATAGTCTGTCATTGTTAATGTATTTATATTGTAAATGTGCCTTCTTTAAATTATTATTATTATTGAATATTTTAATATTTATTACTTTGTTCATTCATAGATTTAAAACAGCATGTAAATGAAAATGTGTAACAAACAGTCATACTCATCACTTTACAATTTAGTTATATTTTCAGCTACATCTTTTATATTTTTCATTGTATGATTTATATTGCTGATTATATTAATTTAATATATAAAACAATTTCTGCATCAAGCTTATTCTCACTTAAAATTACTTTTCTGGAGTTTAAAAAGTAATCTAATTTCTACTTCTATAACAACACTAGGATCAAATAAGTTGTCATTATTCACTCAAGACACTTGATAGTAGCATCAATTTCACTTATTAACAAAGCATATATTCTATTTTCCAAGGTTCCTCATGCTTCAAGGTTAGTGTCACTAACTTAAAAGTAGACATTGAGCCAATATTGTTTTTAAATTTAAATTCAACTACAAATAAAAATAATCAATATTCATGCATAGTTATTATGTATACAAGGTCTGATCAAAAATTATTCAACCTGCGGTTGGGAAAAAATTGCCTGCACGTGTATTTGGTTCAAACTACACCCCTTCATTAAGTCCCTTCAGACTATATACACTTCTTCCAACAATGATTCTACTGTTGGAAGCATTTTTCAAAGTCATTTATCCAGATATCCATCAAGCATTTCATTGTGATAATCCCGATCACCTCTACATCCTGAAATCTCTTTCCTTTGCATAGCATCTTGAGTTTGGGAAAGAGTCAAAAGTCGACCAGAGCTGGGGAGTAAGGAGCTGCAGAACCTATGCAATATCCTGAGAATGTCTGGATGAAATATGATCTGTGGGCCTGAGCTTTGTTATGATGAATGAACTAGTTGCCAGATTGCCAGAGCTATGGTCTCTTGCAGCTAACACTATCTCATAGGTGATGTAAAATAGTCAGTTTGTACTTTTTTGACAGTTTTTCAATGAGAGGTATACTCATGATAAACTATTCCTTGGTGATTGGAAAAAAATAAAAATAAATAAAGTCAACATAACCTTCACATTGCTGTGTGATTGTTGTGCCTTTTTACTGCCTTGAAGACCATGGCATTTTCCACTGGGATGATTGTGCCTTTGTCTCAGGGTCATACCTATAGATCCAGATCGCCATCACGTTCCACTGAATCACTAATGCAACAATAAAAACATACATGCAACTATCACAACTATCTGACAGTAACTGCAGGATAGGATAGGCTCACTAAAATTCAAAATCATGCAGAAGGGTCCAAGGTTACATGTTAACATAGTCTCCTCCCAGCTTGCAAATACTTGTAAAAAAGAAAAATAAGGTCAGATACTTTTGATCAGACATTGTATGAATTTGCACATATAACAACTTTATGAAAATTCTGCTAATTAGACTTGTATCATCACTGATATAAAACTCATCTTCTCAAATCTACATTAAGTTAAGTTTGCAGGCTCTATTGTATGTGATTTGCATATATTGATGAAGTGATTTTTTTTTTTAACTTTAAAATGACTGCTTTTCAGAATTGTCTTGACCCATATACCCTTCTTTAAACTGAGTGCAAACTAGTCGATATTGCAGCAAATTGGTCAGAGGTGACATCAAACTTCAATCATCAAAGGTTTGACCATCAACATGTAGTCATTGACTCAATGTCACTCTAAGTCATACTCTTTGACAGAAGACAAGAATCATCAAACTCTTGGATCAAGCTTGTTGAATTTTTTGGGTAATGATCAGGAAACTCTCGTGTGCATTTGAAAATTTGCAAGAAAGAAATATGCACATAGGCCACAAACAAGTCTTGCAGATGTTTGTGCTGTGATATTTATCTCTTTTCACAATGAATTACAAAACAGAAAGTTGTTTGATAGCTTTTCATTGATATTATTAAAATTTATGCTGTGATATTTATCTCTTTTCGCAATNCAGTAAACAAAGTTTTTAATATTTTAATATAAAAATGTCTTTGAATTATTTTCTCATTCATTCGATTCATTATATTTTAAATCGTTTCTACAGAATTTGTCCTTTAAGTGAGGTAGCCATGCTTGATTTTGGTTTGCGGTTTAATTATTTTCCTGATTAGCGATTGTAATTAATAGGTTTCATAAAAAGCTGATCTATGAGCCTAAATGTCAGAAAAACCGGATTGGTATGAATATTTTATGAAAATGAAAAAATAATAAAATAACTAATCCGTTAATTGATATCAATATACTATATTTCTTTATGTTAACGCGATATGTTCATTTACTAATATGCACTGCAGCGTTTAAATGTTATAAAAATATAACACGACATAAAAATATCACACAAATTTTTATTGCTGTATTTATTTCAAAAAATTAATTTTCAATAGTTCATTCCTTTTGTAATTAGAAATAAGTTACGGTTAAAAATAATTCGACAAATTATTATAATTTCAATAAAATTAATGAAATTATTTATAAGTTATGTACTGGGTACATATTAAGACAGCAAATCCATTGTCTATCGGATCCCTGTTTTAGTTTTTGTTTATTTATTAAATTTCTGTCAAATAGACAACAAATGAAAGCATCCAAAGCCAACATCAACAAATCATCATTGCCATTTTACAAACAAACTATTGAGTAATAATAGTTTGTGGAGGGATACACAAAATGTCTATTGGTTCTTTAGAACTACATCATGAGTGATATCAGAAGGGATACACAAGAAGTGATACATTACCAGATCATTGAAGAAAAACAGTTATGTGACTGTAATGTTGCCTCTGACATTATGTCAAAAGCAATGGCATCAACTATCTGCTCCAGACTTTAAACAGAAGTGATAGATTTCAGCTCAGCCAGCCAAAGAACATAGTTTATTTTCTCCTCTAGAGAAGCTATGGGTCAATAAAAATTCTAAAAAGAAAATAGTCATTTTGAATTTTCAAAATATATACAAGTCAAAATATCAAATATCAAAATATCGTAAATAAATAATCGGTAAGTAGTATAATAATCAAGTTTTGAAATAATGAGAAAAAACTAGACATATCAGGCTTATAAATGTTTTTTACAGATTAATTCTACTATATATAGTTCCAACATTATAAATATTTAAAAGTGTGCATGAACTTTATAGACAACTCTGTACAGTGGAACCCCGGTTAATGAACGTCCTGCTTAACAACCAAATCGGTTAACAAACTTTATTTTGCAAAAATTTTGTCTTGGATAACGAACTTAACAGCTTTTTGTGTCAAATTTGTAAGCTTGCCGACTTTTAGGGGGAATCAGTTAATCATGTGTCAGTGATGGTGTAGGGTCCATTCGTATGTTGGTGATGGCAAAGGAGACAAAGATGACAAGTATTTTTCAGTGAAAATCGTTTATTAGAACGGAAAGATACTTACATATTTGAAGTGGTTGGAAATGGCTTATCTACAGTATTTTCTCCCGGCACTGAGGAGTGGTGTATTGCTAGTCCTACGATAGTACAAGCTGATCAGTTGTAGCCCCAGAACGGATGAGATGGGTTCGCTTGGTCACAGAAGCGATGGTAGGTGACAGAGCTGCAACGACTGAAGCCATGCAGGAAGAACAGATGAAAGTCTTACAAGAGCATTCATCAGAGGAAGAGGCTATGGAAGAAATCACCAGTGCTGAGATCAAGGAAATTTGCAGAAAATGGAATGATGTGCAGGAATTTATCGAGAAGCACCATCCTAACAAAGTTGTGGCTAATAGGATCATTAATTTAATGAACAACACTGTGCTAGCACATTTTAGAAAAATTTTGATTAAGAGAATAAGACAATCAACTTTAGACCACTTTCTTGTTCCTTATCAACAGAGACCTCGACTCGAAGAAACTCCCGATGCAGTGCTACCTGATATTTTTATGGAGAGGAATTACTCTTCCAAGCATTAAGCTCCATAGAAACAAAGGTATGTACAGTACAGTGCTACTTTATTAAATTAAATAAAGTTTACATATTTGTTGCTGTAATGATAGATACTACGTTTTCTTATATTTTCATCAAAGAAAACCCATTTTACAAATAAAATTACAAAAATACTGACAGCTAGAATGGATTAATTGTATTTACATTAATTTCTACGGGAAAAATTGCTTCGGTTAACGAACGGACTCGTGGAATGGATTACATTCGTTAACTGGGGTTCCACTGTATTTCTATTTCCTGCATGCTGTTTCATATTTGAATGTTATTTTATGAGGAATAAATATAGTAATTAAAAAAATAAAAAAAAAAAACAAAAATATTTGAATGTCTTTCTATATTTGAAAAAGTTAAAAGAATGATGACCAATTGTTAACCAATAAAAACTCTGTAGCTACTATGACGACTTCCAAAACTACTTTATATGTCAAATTTTGTTTTTGAAGAATTGCATTCACTGATGTGAATAATTTAATGAGAAATTTTGAAGTTTTTATATACTGTTATGCACAACACTATCCAAATATTCATCATTTATTATTACAGATATTATAAACTTACTAAGCCTTCATTTTAATATTTTGACATGCATTCTGTGCAGTTTTTGATCTGAAATTAGTCAGATTGCACTGTATTGTTGGCAAATATTAAAAATAACTTGTATCTCCACTTTATGAAAGTTTACATTAGCATTTAGTGCTTGTTTTGAAGTATGCAGTTTTAGAAGCATTGTGCATTCTAAGCAGCAAACAGTAAGAGGAGTCTTCAAACTCCTTCCCTGAGAACTACATTCAGCATCAAGCTGCTTTAGTTTTGAATTGTGTCTGTGGACATTTGTCAATTTATTTTGTGCATCCATTAGTAAAAGTAAAAGGATAAAATGAATAGCCTATTGTTTGAGTGGATTGATGGGTGTACAAATCATAACATCCCATTATCTTTTATTTACTTAATTAAGAAGAAATCAGTCAGTTTTTTCAATAAGCTGAAACAGAGAATGAACAATGGTGATAAAAGTATTGCAAAAATGAGGACAGTTTCATAGCTTAAAGACTACTTACTAAAGAGAGACTACTTTCACTAACTACACTGTACTGACTACATTTCTACTTTATATTAGCTGTCTATGATATTATTTCTGCTTTTACTGTGTGTTAGTATTATTTTAGGTTTTATATACTATTTCGTATAATTTAGTAATTCATTTTGAGTCTGTACTCTCAAACATTTTTCATATAAATTAATGGTAATTGCTTCTTTGCTTTGTGCCATTTTGGCTTATGAAAGGTTTCAAAGAAATTCTCTAAAGAATTTCTGTGAAACTTTTCATAAATTCTTTCATAAAGAAGGGAATTTCACAGAAATTCTTTCATAAAGAAGAGAATTTAAAAATGCAAAAACTTTAGCTGCCATAGCTGGGCAACCATAACTGCCATAAATATGGAAATAGGTGGTAAAATTCATTTATGCAAAATATAAAACTAAAAACTTTTGTGTTTGTGTTTTTATTTGTATGTTCTATATTTTACAATTGTATTTTATCAATAAATATTCACTTATCCTCTTTAAACTAAAAAAAAAAAGAAATCATAATAAATATTTGTCTTATCATCAATGTAAGCTATAGAATCTGATATTGGCTGAATCAGTCAATTATGCCACCATAACTTGTAATATTTTGCTGAAGCTGTCTACCATTCAAAAATAACATTACTTAAATATATAACAATTAGTTAATCATTTACCTTACATATTCTGACAGTTTACTCATGTGGGACGCTGAAGGTATGACGAGGTTGTACCTCTTTTTGTCGGCAACAGGTTGGTTAAACCCACCCATTTTGTCAGTGGATGGTTTGTTACGTTCTACGATCCCGAGGGATCGGGATTCTTTTTGTCAGGTCAAGTGGAGGAGGTGAGAGGGGTTGTCGGTAAGGCATAGGCAATAAATGAGTAAAGAACACCATTAACAATCAAAAACAAAAAATTTATTGGATAACAATCGGATGATCACAATATCTGTCATCGAGATTTGATCAAATTAGACATATTGCATCTCTTTACTACACATTGCAGGCCGAGAGAGAGTAAACTCTCTCTCGGCCTGCAATGTGTAGTAAAGAGATTTAACGAAGGACAAAACTCGAACGAGTGGAACAGAAAAGAGGGAGAGTTTACTCTCTCTCCTTTTTTTCTGTTCCACTCATTCGAGCTTTGTCCTTCGTTAAATTGTTGCATCAAGTTATACAAACATGACTTAAACATGAATCATTGATCGTAGGATATGGCTCAGAGATGGCGGTGGGTTGTAGACTTCCCTGAAAAGGGTTAGATGTTGTTGGGCTTGTGGTGGACGAGAGACTCACCTAGAGGGGGAAGAAATGGCTTTTATAGTTTTGTGGTGGAAAAATATGTCATGTGACATCTTATTGTAAGCAGTAAACGTTATTGGAGCTGGTGTGGAGGCTAAAGGTGTTCCCGGGATCAAAATAAAGTGACGAATTTGGACTTTAACTGTAAACTTATCTTGCAATATGAGCTTTATGATGTTTGTGATGAGAGAATGTTGACATTGTTGGAGGAGGGTTGTTTATTTTCCCAGTGAAATGGTTTTTTTCTTTCAAATTCCTTAGGCAATAAAAGGGAGAATAATTAAGAAAAAAATCCTCAAAAATTCCGGATCTCACATTCATATCTGTAACATGTTGGGAATATTTAAGTTTAACAAAGCATATTGTTGTTGCAATTCTTTTAATTTAATTCTGGAATTAATTTTTTCCAACTATTTACTCAATTATTCTTTCTCCTCAATCACTCATTTCCCCCACATCATACTGTGCCTGTAATCTTTTATTACCAGCATTTCTCTTACTAACATGACCATTTAGATCACCATGTTCAAATAAACTTTCACTTTAAGGGATACTACTTGTCAGATACTCTCAAGTCTAGCCAAAATGCATCCTTCTCATCTTGATCACATCCCATCTATTGCATGTATGCACTTACAATATTTAAGAGGCAGTCCATCAAATCTCTCTTAACCAAGATGATACAATCAGAAATTCTTTTAATCTGAGTCACATACTTCTTTAATTTCCCATTCAAAATAACCCCACACAGTTCACTTGTTTTCTGTGCCATGGGAGAAGAGTTGATATTCCTCTCCAATCTCCTTAGTTTTACTTCCCTTGCACTTTGTCTCTTGAATACAGAGTCAATGTTCATTAGATCCACTATATCCCTATCTCTTCCTGTCACTGTTTCAACAGTTAAAGGAGCAAATTCCAACAGTTCTCAATACATTGATCCTTTCTTTTATTCTTCCTTTCAGCTAATTTCTTTAGTTGTATCTCCTCCCAATACAGTAGCCTCAACCCATTTCTCATAGGAACCAGGCAAAGACACCGAGCATCACTTTCTGGAGTATGTCCTAGCAAGGCCGTTTCTCCTTATGAACATAAAACTTTATGGCTGGATGCCATTCCCAATGCCAACCCTCCACTTTTATCCAGGCTGAGAAAACCTTAATGAACAATTATTCATTTTTTAATTTAACAGTTTTCAAACCATAGTATACCTGTATGTACTAATGTAACAGTTATCACATAGGTTAAGAATGCATATGTTTGGTAGGTATGTAAGAAAGGCTTGTAAAGGCTTGCTTTGAGAAAATAGGTTTATTATAAATTAATTATTTCTTTTTATCTAGATACATATCAATGTTTCTTCTTCATTACTGGCAGAAGATTTGTGGGTTTGTAGTTCAGACAGTAACTGCTTCAAATTCCATTCATACAGACATGCCTTCAACTTTAGTTGCCTGTTCAAGGGTAAGTTGCAATCCAAGCATATATCACACTACATAATAGTCAGTAAACTTACAAAAATATTACAAAATTCCTAAAGCCAGAACTTCCACATATTAACAAGAAAAACTTTACATATTTTTCCAGCAAGATATCTTGTATGCTGGAAGTATATAAGGTTTTTCTTGTTCATACAAAAATATTACATTTGTAAGTGGTATGTAACAAGTTTAGAAAAAGAAACTGTGTATGCTGAATCCAAATATTAAATGGAGTCACTGTATATAGTTTACTCAATCAAAAATTTGACAAAATATTTTGTTTGAATGTGTAAATTTACTTTTAAAAGAGTTTAAACTGTTGTCACATTTTTTTTCTTTTTATCTACCTGTTTTTCTTACTCTATTACAGATATAAAGTTATTCAATTTGCTTGAATTAACTGATTATACATTATTCACCTAAAGAATTATTAAAACATCTTTAAATACCTGGAGATTTAATTTTATAAAAATTATGAAGTGCAAAAGCGTGGTTTCTCCAATCCTGACAACTGGATAATTTACTGGAAAAAATCTTCAGAATTCATTGTAATTAAAAATAACAATTATATGTTAAAATGACAAGTTTCTTAAATAATTAGTTCAGACTCACGACTTAATATGATTTCTATTTTCAAATCAAAATTCGAACAGCTGCGAGTAGAGAGCGCTGTTGCCAGATTTTCACCGTCGATGAAATTCATTGACGAAATACAAATTTAAGAATTTCATATTCTTATAAATTGAGACTAAAGAATAGGAAATACCAAACAAATACGGGATGAAAAAAGTATTTAATTATATTTATTCACAATTTCTTTTATTTATTATTTTTTCAGTTTTATTTTTTTTTTCTATTTGTGGTCATTAAAAAAGGCTTTTTTCAGGACATTATAAATTCGGCTAAACCCACAATGGGAAGGTCCTGGTGATAAGAAATAGTGCCTTACATGTCTCCGATGAACAGAATACATCGCTTAAGATTTCTGAGCTTTTAGATCTGGATTCGAATCCGGGTCCCCCAGAGCGGTGGGCTGCCGTCCCGTCCGGATTCGATCCGAACGAGACGGCAGCCCCAGGAATTTTTTGCGGGATGGTCCGTCCGGATATGTTGGACCTCGTCCCTCACTACCCGGCCGCCCCATTGTGGGCCTGGCCGAATCCATAATGGGCTTGTTAAAAGAGGCCCTCTTAGTGCCCACAGAGAGAGAAGAGTTAAAAAAACACTTAGAAAGCGAGAACGAGGATAAGCGACCAACTCTCTTTGTGGGCCCAGAAATAGTTCGCATTTAATAAGCAAAGATATATTTTAATAAATTAACAAACAACGAAACAAATAAAATAAGTGTCGAGCCAGAGATACTGGACTTTGACATCGTCGCTCATAAGAAATAGAGAAAAAGGAAATAGACAAAAGAAATGAAAAATGGAATTGTTTAAAATGCAATAAGAAAAAGGAAGCGGAGAATATGAGCGTGGGTGTCTTAGTCATCGATAAGTCGTGAACAGAGTCGAACGGATGGTGTCCGATAAACCATCCCGGGCAGACGTTTCTTGCGACCCGAACTGATATCGAGTCGCAAATAGGAGATCAATAGGGGAGCAGGAGGGAGAAAGCCCGACGAATGGGAAGAAGAATAAGGGGGGTAAAAGGTATAAAATGACAGTGTGACGAAAGACGGATGCGATCTGCTTGTTCTATCTTCCCGTTCAAGCCAAGAGTTCCTCCTCTGTCATCACCAAGAAATGTCCGATTTTCCGCCATCCTTTGTGCTAGTCATATACTCCGAACGTCAACTCACCGCTATCCCGGGTCTGCTCCATCAAGACGAGAGAAACTTTAAGGATACAACAACCCCGATGAAACTCGGAAATCTTTGGACTGTCATATAGATGTAAGCGTATATCGACAAAATAAACGGTTTATTGTTAACACGTCTTTTCTGCCTCGGGAAACAACCACCCACATACGCGAGGGCCTTAGGTCATTCCTGACAAGGGAGTAAAATCCCTCCCTCAAATCGGCGTACTTGCATCTTTACACACGCATGAAAAAGGATAACCCAAATATATTATTAATTAATCAGCAAATAAAATTCCCTACCTTCAATGTGATTACCGTCCTGCTGGACAACACATTGCATCCTCAACACCGTGTTTTCTATGGCCGAACGTAACATGTCTGCAGGAACGTTCATCACAGTTCGAGAAATGTTGTCCTTCAAGGTCATCAATTTGGGGACACCACCAAAATAAAATCTTTTCGTATTCTGTTCTCTGCATATATTGACAATTAAAGTTTATTACATCCCGACAAATTGAACGGAGCGCAAACTATATCAGACAAGACATACCAGTAATGTTGATAAACAAAACTGCAGAACAACTCAATGATCCTGCAGTGAAACCAAGACCGTTGGGTGTTGCAGAACACTTGACAAAGACTGCCAATATATGCAATCGATTGATTTTCCATCACCTAACTGTCATAAAAACAACAATATGCAAATCGTGCAATAACCAAAAAGATTAAGTTGAAATTATCATCTATTCGTTGTAAGAGTGACTGTGTTGCATATTATTTTTAAGTGTTTCACTTCATTTCCTAGTGGAAGCTATTTTACACTAGGAAATGAATTAAAACATATAAATGCATATAAAGCTAATTGTTGTGTTTTATTTTATATTATACGTTAATTAATGTATTTATAAAAGGGGTCATTTACTGACCCACATGATCGTCAATGTTTCAAAGTTTGTCGAAAGGTTATGACAGATTCGATTTATTCATACCTGCCATCGATAAACATCGAGGGGAATGTCTTAAGGGAGGACTTTTTCTCAGAAAATTGGTCTTTATTTGGGTGCGAGACAAATGTAGAAAATCCGAAAACTTCCACGTCGCTAACTCATTGGTGAGGCGCAAACCACGTGCTCGATGGTTTAATCCAATCGGACACTGCAGCGCTTTTTTTATATATAACAGACACACTTGTCAAGATTATAATAAATGCAAAGACGTTAGTGTTTCGTCCGGAAAATTAAAAGTTTATTCTCTGTAAAGACACGTATTGTTTTGAACCATTTTCATATTGCTTCTGGTCACATATAACGGGAAAAAAAAATGGCGATGGTTAAGGAACCAGCAAATCCCGAAATTTTGTATACATTTTTGCACTAGGGAGAAATTTAATCGTAGAGAAATGAGAAAACTTCGGGTTTGTTTTTTGTACGTGTGAAAGAACACAAATTGGTTCACTTTGATGGAAACGATTCCTGTGCGTTTATCGAAAATGTCTATAGTTTTGCAGAGAAGGGTACTACAGATTGATGCTATTTAATTTTATTAGTTAAAGGTTGAAAGTGTGAGATGATAGAAATGTCGTGTGTCATATCTCGAAAAGAGTCGAGCCTAACAAAGATTTTCATTGTTATTCTTATCATATAAAACTCATTTATACCCAGAAAATTAAGTTTTTCGACATTTTATAATAAATTGTTTTATATCTTTATATAAAAGATTTTAACTTTTTCACATACAAAATTTCATATAAATCGAAACAAAACATTAATTTTAATTCTTCCATATTTCGAAACCGTGTTATATCTTTATATCTGTTTAAAAAACTGCAATGTAGCACAGTATTCAACACATGGCATAACTCATTCATTTATTCCAGCTTTTTGTTGAGACGCGTTTCTACACACGTTTCGGGCTCTGTTTTTGCCCCTCCTCAGTCAACTAAAACATATAAAAACTAATTATATACATATTATAACCCGACATATGAATTAAAAAACGACAAAAATAAAAGTATATTTCGTTGGTATATACAAGTAAGACATAACATACCATTTTCTAAGTAAATTCCTTCTCTGGATGTATTTTTTTCCTTGAACGGGAATCATACTCTATATACTTGATTATTTCAGATACTAGGTTGAAGATTTAATCTTACTTCTTCATGCTTCAGACACAGATTGTCCTATTTAAACTCTACTATACTTTGAAGACTATAAAAACAACACAATTAGTGTACTTAACATGTAGGTATTAACAATATACAGGATTTTTTCTTACGTACTTAGTCACAGTAGAGTTCTTGAGGTGTCACAAAGGATTACAATGGACATATGGCAGAGTTCTTCTTTTTCCGTATGTTCCCTATAATTCTCCTGTCCTTATCCTCTTTGTATCTAATGAGCTTCTATCACATTTTTTCTTCTTTAGTATTTATATCGATACGAAGTAACTAGACTTCACTTTCTTAATTTTGTTCTTTCAACTCTTCGATTCTAGAGGCGTTTCATTCTATGATGATTTACATAATCATATGGTTTCTGGTAGGCAAGTTTTAATTATGTTTCGTATTTCTTTTAAATAGTACTCTAAAAGTATTTTGAATTTTTTCCTTTTTATTTTCCAAAAATTCTCCTTTTTTTCAAATAATTTTTCTTTCCAAATTCTTTTACAGTATTTTTAGCCAATTCTCGTTAATTTTTAAACTTAAGTTTTTATTTATACAATGTTTATTTTTTATAATTTCTATACTCTCTTTAAATTTTCTGTGATAAGTTTCTTTTTCTTTATGTAGGATTTTTACATTATTTTGGTCAATATTACAATTATTCAACGTGCAATGTTCGAGAAAGGCTGAATTAATTCTATTATGTTTTAGATCTGCTACGTGTTCTTTTAGTCTAACTTCCATTTTTCTCTTTGTTTCTCCTATGTAATATTTTTTATTTTCACATGTACATGGAATTTGGTATACTACGTTTTTTGTATCTTTCACTTGTTGTTTTCCTGTTGACCTAGTTGTATTATTATTATTTAGTCTGGCAAAAAAATTTTTATATTTCGGGGCAAGTTTTACATTAGCATGTCTTATTTCTTTATTAATTTTTTCATATAGACCTTTAATATAAGGAAATGGAATATATTTCACTTTATTTTCATTTGAAATCTTTCCATTATCTATTTCATTCTTTTCAGGATTCTTTTTATTATTTACGTTGTTGATTTTTTCTTTCCAGTTTGTAAGTAACCTGTTGGGGTATCCATTTAACAAGAATTTTTTCTTTAAACTTTAATATCATTATCTATGTCCATACATTTACTAGTTCATTACATACATTAATTTTAATGTCATTTTTCAACAATGTTCTCGATGTAACAATTTCCAATTGTTTCAATTGTTGAAGCGAAATGAAGCGTTCTTTCGAAAGTGTTTGTTTGCGATTTTCTAGTGAGAAAATGAAGAAAGAAAGGTAAATTTAATCAATTGCAATTAAATTAAAGCAATATTCACGAATGACACTTCCTTGATATTTATTTAAAATTTCATCAATTTAGTTATGATAGATGTGATGGCGCTGAACCGGACGGTCAGCAAAATCAGAATTATTGGATTAATAATGTAAGTTATTCAATTTCATTAATAAATTTCTTGATTAAAAGTCAATTAACAACTCTTTACTCCATTTTCAAATATACATTAAGAGTAATAAATATTATTATTTTGACTTTTCGTAGGATTTCTATGATTTGCCCGCCAATGAGTGTTTCTCCGCTTACAAAGGAGATTCATCATTCGAGGTGAACAAACCTAAGAGAGATTTAAAAATTGGAGGATTTAAACACTTTTTCAAAAATATATTTTGTAAACTGTTGCGCTGTTGTTGCGTAAAAGGAGAAACTTCCGATTCACCGGTAACACTCGAGTTTCTTTGTTTTTTTTACAAAGGAGATTCATCATTCGAGGTGAACAAACCTAAGAGAGATTTAAAAATTGGAGGATTTAAACACTTTTTCAAAAATATATTTTGTAAACTGTTGCGCTGTTGTTGCGTAAAAGGAGAAACTTCCGATTCACCGGTAACACTCGAGTTTCTTTGTTTTTTTTACAAAGGAGATTCATCATTCGAGGTGAACAAACCTAAGAGAGATTTAAAAATTGGAGGATTTAAACACTTTTTCAAAAATATATTTTGTAAACTGTTGCGCTGTTGTTGCGTAAAAGGAGAAACTTCCGATTCACCGGTAACACTCGAGTTTCTTTGTTTTTTTTACAAAGGAGATTCATCATTCGAGGTGAACAAACCTAAGAGAGATTTAAAAATTGGAGGATTTAAACACTTTTTCAAAAATATATTTTGTAAACTGTTGCGCTGTTGTTGCGTAAAAGGAGAAACTTCCGATTCACCGGTAACACTCGAGTTTCTTTGTTTTTTTTACAAAGGAGATTCATCATTCGAGGTGAACAAACCTAAGAGAGATTTAAAAATTGGAGGATTTAAACACTTTTTCAAAAATATATTTTGTAAACTGTTGCGCTGTTGTTGCGTAAAAGGAGAAACTTCCGATTCACCGGTAACACTCGAGTTTCTTTGTTTTTCTCTGTTTTACAATTAACGAACTATGCAACTAAAATATTTTATAATCGTAGAAGTGCGAATCGGAGGATTTTCAATCTGGACTTGAACGTCTAAACAATACAAAAGACAAGTACGAATTTCAAGAAATTGGTGAAGGATCTTTTGGCACAGTGTATGTGGGTCGGTCATAACAGTCGGTCATAACAGTTCCGACATAACAGTCGCTGTCAAAGCCATCAAGAAGCGACGGTATTTTGTAAATCAGGTATGCATTGAGCATTGTTTTCCATATTCTTTCTATCTAAAAACGAAACAATGTCTGTAACAACGTTGGTAGAATCCACTTTATTTTATCAACGTTGGTAGTACTTTATTTTATCTTTGAAGTGTGTACATTCTGACTGAAAAAACACAGTTCATTTATATAATAATGTTTTTGTTAATACTTTTCAAAAATATTCTATAAACAACTTATGCAGAATAAATTAATTTCGTATTTCGTATATATTAATTATGCTTTTTTATTAACAGGAATTCAATATTCTCAAAGAAGGAACTGCTTGGCGCAGAGTGTCTAGTCATCCTCACATTGTCAGTTTTATTGATCTCTTCGAAACTGATATTTGGTAAGCTTTATGTTTTTTTATATTAATGATTTGTAATAATTTATGTGTATCGGGTAATAAACTACTCGTGTTTTTCAGTCACTGTTTCGTCTGTGATTATGTGAATGGAGAGAATTTGGCCGACTTCTTGGAAGTAAATGGAGTATTATCGGAAACCCAAGCTAAGACGATCGGTGCACAAGATGCTTCGGCCATTATTTATATTCACGATAAAGGTGCTTTATCTAAATATATTTATACATATAAATTTTCTTACGTATACACCATGTAACAAATTCTTTTACTGTCTCCCATAGGAATTATTCACAGAGATATAAGCTCAAACAACATCTTAATAGATAAGAAGAATGGAGCACATTTGATTGACTTTGGCCTGTGCACAGTAAGTATTGTACGCCTCTTACTTTTGTTCAACTGTGCTTTCCTTATGACGATCTTATTGTTTTCAGTTCGAACGCCATCCAACAGACTTCTGCGGCACTCTGTTCTATTTATGCCCAGAAATTGTTCAACGGAAGGAATACGGTAAGAAATGTTATTTACATTTAATGGATTTTTTATTTCTTTCTTTTATTGGTGAAATCAATATATGGTTTACAGACACTTACTGCGATTGGTGGGCGTTTGGAGTTGTATTATACCAGATTTTGGTTGGAAAAACTCCAATGGACGTTTATCTGGAAGAAATTATGACCATTGAAGATTTCCAGTCATTGCCGATTACCGAAAAACTCCAAAGTAAGTATCGATTCAGAATTCCTTAAGAAATAAAAGAAACGATGATTAATATAAAAATGCTATTGCAGTTGTTGAAGAAGTGGAGTTGACATATCCTTTTGAACTATCCGAGGATGCGAAACAAATAGTCCAGGATTTGTTACAGAAAGTAAGTTTATGATGCATTTTATGTAATTAATTTTCTGGTTTGTCTACTATACATTTCACGAGAGAAAAATTGTTTAGATCGTGTTGATTAATTTTGATATATTACACGTTTTATATTACCTTAAGCCATACAATCTTACATGTATTAATGTGAACCGCAATGTTTGGTTTTATGAGACAAATGATTTTTAAAGCAATTTTAAGTTTTTNATTTGAATGTCTTTCTATATTTGAAAAAGTTAAAAGAATGATGACCAATTGTTAACCAATAAAAACTCTGTAGCTACTATGACGACTTCCAAAACTACTTTATATGTCAAATTTTGTTTTTGAAGAATTGCATTCACTGATGTGAATAATTTAATGAGAAATTTTGAAGTTTTTATATACTGTTATGCACAACACTATCCAAATATTCATCATTTATTATTACAGATATTATAAACTTACTAAGCCTTCATTTTAATATTTTGACATGCATTCTGTGCAGTTTTTGATCTGAAATTAGTCAGATTGCACTGTATTGTTGGCAAATATTAAAAATAACTTGTATCTCCACTTTATGAAAGTTTACATTAGCATTTAGTGCTTGTTTTGAAGTATGCAGTTTTAGAAGCATTGTGCATTCTAAGCAGCAAACAGTAAGAGGAGTCTTCAAACTCCTTCCCTGAGAACTACATTCAGCATCAAGCTGCTTTAGTTTTGAATTGTGTCTGTGGACATTTGTCAATTTATTTTGTGCATCCATTAGTAAAAGTAAAAGGATAAAATGAATAGCCTATTGTTTGAGTGGATTGATGGGTGTACAAATCATAACATCCCATTATCTTTTATTTACTTAATTAAGAAGAAATCAGTCAGTTTTTTCAATAAGCTGAAACAGAGAATGAACAATGGTGATAAAAGTATTGCAAAAATGAGGACAGTTTCATAGCTTAAAGACTACTTACTAAAGAGAGACTACTTTCACTAACTACACTGTACTGACTACATTTCTACTTTATATTAGCTGTCTATGATATTATTTCTGCTTTTACTGTGTGTTAGTATTATTTTAGGTTTTATATACTATTTCGTATAATTTAGTAATTCATTTTGAGTCTGTACTCTCAAACATTTTTCATATAAATTAATGGTAATTGCTTCTTTGCTTTGTGCCATTTTGGCTTATGAAAGGTTTCAAAGAAATTCTCTAAAGAATTTCTGTGAAACTTTTCATAAATTCTTTCATAAAGAAGGGAATTTCACAGAAATTCTTTCATAAAGAAGAGAATTTAAAAATGCAAAAACTTTAGCTGCCATAGCTGGGCAACCATAACTGCCATAAATATGGAAATAGGTGGTAAAATTCATTTATGCAAAATATAAAACTAAAAACTTTTGTGTTTGTGTTTTTATTTGTATGTTCTATATTTTACAATTGTATTTTATCAATAAATATTCACTTATCCTCTTTAAACTAAAAAAAAAAAGAAATCATAATAAATATTTGTCTTATCATCAATGTAAGCTATAGAATCTGATATTGGCTGAATCAGTCAATTATGCCACCATAACTTGTAATATTTTGCTGAAGCTGTCTACCATTCAAAAATAACATTACTTAAATATATAACAATTAGTTAATCATTTACCTTACATATTCTGACAGTTTACTCATGTGGGACGCTGAAGGTATGACGAGGTTGTACCTCTTTTTGTCGGCAACAGGTTGGTTAAACCCACCCATTTTGTCAGTGGATGGTTTGTTACGTTCTACGATCCCGAGGGATCGGGATTCTTTTTGTCAGGTCAAGTGGAGGAGGTGAGAGGGGTTGTCGGTAAGGCATAGGCAATAAATGAGTAAAGAACACCATTAACAATCAAAAACAAAAAATTTATTGGATAACAATCGGATGATCACAATATCTGTCATCGAGATTTGATCAAATTAGACATATTGCATCTCTTTACTACACATTGCAGGCCGAGAGAGAGTAAACTCTCTCTCGGCCTGCAATGTGTAGTAAAGAGATTTAACGAAGGACAAAACTCGAACGAGTGGAACAGAAAAGAGGGAGAGTTTACTCTCTCTCCTTTTTTTCTGTTCCACTCATTCGAGCTTTGTCCTTCGTTAAATTGTTGCATCAAGTTATACAAACATGACTTAAACATGAATCATTGATCGTAGGATATGGCTCAGAGATGGCGGTGGGTTGTAGACTTCCCTGAAAAGGGTTAGATGTTGTTGGGCTTGTGGTGGACGAGAGACTCACCTAGAGGGGGAAGAAATGGCTTTTATAGTTTTGTGGTGGAAAAATATGTCATGTGACATCTTATTGTAAGCAGTAAACGTTATTGGAGCTGGTGTGGAGGCTAAAGGTGTTCCCGGGATCAAAATAAAGTGACGAATTTGGACTTTAACTGTAAACTTATCTTGCAATATGAGCTTTATGATGTTTGTGATGAGAGAATGTTGACATTGTTGGAGGAGGGTTGTTTATTTTCCCAGTGAAATGGTTTTTTTCTTTCAAATTCCTTAGGCAATAAAAGGGAGAATAATTAAGAAAAAAATCCTCAAAAATTCCGGATCTCACATTCATATCTGTAACATGTTGGGAATATTTAAGTTTAACAAAGCATATTGTTGTTGCAATTCTTTTAATTTAATTCTGGAATTAATTTTTTCCAACTATTTACTCAATTATTCTTTCTCCTCAATCACTCATTTCCCCCACATCATACTGTGCCTGTAATCTTTTATTACCAGCATTTCTCTTACTAACATGACCATTTAGATCACCATGTTCAAATAAACTTTCACTTTAAGGGATACTACTTGTCAGATACTCTCAAGTCTAGCCAAAATGCATCCTTCTCATCTTGATCACATCCCATCTATTGCATGTATGCACTTACAATATTTAAGAGGCAGTCCATCAAATCTCTCTTAACCAAGATGATACAATCAGAAATTCTTTTAATCTGAGTCACATACTTCTTTAATTTCCCATTCAAAATAACCCCACACAGTTCACTTGTTTTCTGTGCCATGGGAGAAGAGTTGATATTCCTCTCCAATCTCCTTAGTTTTACTTCCCTTGCACTTTGTCTCTTGAATACAGAGTCAATGTTCATTAGATCCACTATATCCCTATCTCTTCCTGTCACTGTTTCAACAGTTAAAGGAGCAAATTCCAACAGTTCTCAATACATTGATCCTTTCTTTTATTCTTCCTTTCAGCTAATTTCTTTAGTTGTATCTCCTCCCAATACAGTAGCCTCAACCCATTTCTCATAGGAACCAGGCAAAGACACCGAGCATCACTTTCTGGAGTATGTCCTAGCAAGGCCGTTTCTCCTTATGAACATAAAACTTTATGGCTGGATGCCATTCCCAATGCCAACCCTCCACTTTTATCCAGGCTGAGAAAACCTTAATGAACAATTATTCATTTTTTAATTTAACAGTTTTCAAACCATAGTATACCTGTATGTACTAATGTAACAGTTATCACATAGGTTAAGAATGCATATGTTTGGTAGGTATGTAAGAAAGGCTTGTAAAGGCTTGCTTTGAGAAAATAGGTTTATTATAAATTAATTATTTCTTTTTATCTAGATACATATCAATGTTTCTTCTTCATTACTGGCAGAAGATTTGTGGGTTTGTAGTTCAGACAGTAACTGCTTCAAATTCCATTCATACAGACATGCCTTCAACTTTAGTTGCCTGTTCAAGGGTAAGTTGCAATCCAAGCATATATCACACTACATAATAGTCAGTAAACTTACAAAAATATTACAAAATTCCTAAAGCCAGAACTTCCACATATTAACAAGAAAAACTTTACATATTTTTCCAGCAAGATATCTTGTATGCTGGAAGTATATAAGGTTTTTCTTGTTCATACAAAAATATTACATTTGTAAGTGGTATGTAACAAGTTTAGAAAAAGAAACTGTGTATGCTGAATCCAAATATTAAATGGAGTCACTGTATATAGTTTACTCAATCAAAAATTTGACAAAATATTTTGTTTGAATGTGTAAATTTACTTTTAAAAGAGTTTAAACTGTTGTCACATTTTTTTTCTTTTTATCTACCTGTTTTTCTTACTCTATTACAGATATAAAGTTATTCAATTTGCTTGAATTAACTGATTATACATTATTCACCTAAAGAATTATTAAAACATCTTTAAATACCTGGAGATTTAATTTTATAAAAATTATGAAGTGCAAAAGCGTGGTTTCTCCAATCCTGACAACTGGATAATTTACTGGAAAAAATCTTCAGAATTCATTGTAATTAAAAATAACAATTATATGTTAAAATGACAAGTTTCTTAAATAATTAGTTCAGACTCACGACTTAATATGATTTCTATTTTCAAATCAAAATTCGAACAGCTGCGAGTAGAGAGCGCTGTTGCCAGATTTTCACCGTCGATGAAATTCATTGACGAAATACAAATTTAAGAATTTCATATTCTTATAAATTGAGACTAAAGAATAGGAAATACCAAACAAATACGGGATGAAAAAAGTATTTAATTATATTTATTCACAATTTCTTTTATTTATTATTTTTTCAGTTTTATTTTTTTTTCTATTTGTGGTCATTAAAAAAGGCTTTTTTCAGGACATTATAAATTCGGCTAAACCCACAATGGGAAGGTCCTGGTGATAAGAAATAGTGCCTTACATGTCTCCGATGAACAGAATACATCGCTTAAGATTTCTGAGCTTTTAGATCTGGATTCGAATCCGGGTCCCCCAGAGCGGTGGGCTGCCGTCCCGTCCGGATTCGATCCGAACGAGACGGCAGCCCCAGGAATTTTTTGCGGGATGGTCCGTCCGGATATGTTGGACCTCGTCCCTCACTACCCGGCCGCCCCATTGTGGGCCTGGCCGAATCCATAATGGGCTTGTTAAAAGAGGCCCTCTTAGTGCCCACAGAGAGAGAAGAGTTAAAAAAAAAAAAAAACACTTAGAAAGCGAAAACGAGGATAAGCGACCAACTCTCTTTGTGGGCCCAGAAATAGTTCGCATTTAATAAGCAAAGATATATTTTAATAAATTAACAAACAACGAAACAAATAAAATAAGTGTCGAGCCAGAGATACTGGACTTTGACATCGTCGCTCATAAGAAATAGAGAAAAAGGAAATAGACAAAAGAAATGAAAAATGGAATTGTTTAAAATGCAATAAGAAAAAGGAAGCGGAGAATATGAGCGTGGGTGTCTTAGTCATCGATAAGTCGTGAACAGAGTCGAACGGATGGTGTCCGATAAACCATCCCGGGCAGACGTTTCTTGCGACCCGAACTGATATCGAGTCGCAAATAGGAGATCAATAGGGGAGCAGGAGGGAGAAAGCCCGACGAATGGGAAGAAGAATAAGGGGGGTAAAAGGTATAAAATGACAGTGTGACGAAAGACGGATGCGATCTGCTTGTTCTATCTTCCCGTTCAAGCCAAGAGTTCCTCCTCTGTCATCACCAAGAAATGTCCGATTTTCCGCCATCCTTTGTGCTAGTCATATACTCCGAACGTCAACTCACCGCTATCCCGGGTCTGCTCCATCAAGACGAGAGAAACTTTAAGGATACAACAACCCCGATGAAACTCGGAAATCTTTGGACTGTCATATAGATGTAAGCGTATATCGACAAAATAAACGGTTTATTGTTAACACGTCTTTTCTGCCTCGGGAAACAACCACCCACATACGCGAGGGCCTTAGGTCATTCCTGACAAGGGAGTAAAATCCCTCCCTCAAATCGGCGTACTTGCATCTTTACACACGCATGAAAAAGGATAACCCAAATATATTATTAATTAATCAGCAAATAAAATTCCCTACCTTCAATGTGATTACCGTCCTGCTGGACAACACATTGCATCCTCAACACCGTGTTTTCTATGGCCGAACGTAACATGTCTGCAGGAACGTTCATCACAGTTCGAGAAATGTTGTCCTTCAAGGTCATCAATTTGGGGACACCACCAAAATAAAATCTTTTCGTATTCTGTTCTCTGCATATATTGACAATTAAAGTTTATTACATCCCGACAAATTGAACGGAGCGCAAACTATATCAGACAAGACATACCAGTAATGTTGATAAACAAAACTGCAGAACAACTCAATGATCCTGCAGTGAAACCAAGACCGTTGGGTGTTGCAGAACACTTGACAAAGACTGCCAATATATGCAATCGATTGATTTTCCATCACCTAACTGTCATAAAAACAACAATATGCAAATCGTGCAATAACCAAAAAGATTAAGTTGAAATTATCATCTATTCGTTGTAAGAGTGACTGTGTTGCATATTATTTTTAAGTGTTTCACTTCATTTCCTAGTGGAAGCTATTTTACACTAGGAAATGAATTAAAACATATAAATGCATATAAAGCTAATTGTTGTGTTTTATTTTATATTATACGTTAATTAATGTATTTATAAAAGGGGTCATTTACTGACCCACATGATCGTCAATGTTTCAAAGTTTGTCGAAAGGTTATGACAGATTCGATTTATTCATACCTGCCATCGATAAACATCGAGGGGAATGTCTTAAGGGAGGACTTTTTCTCAGAAAATTGGTCTTTATTTGGGTGCGAGACAAATGTAGAAAATCCGAAAACTTCCACGTCGCTAACTCATTGGTGAGGCGCAAACCACGTGCTCGATGGTTTAATCCAATCGGACACTGCAGCGCTTTTTTTATATATAACAGACACACTTGTCAAGATTATAATAAATGCAAAGACGTTAGTGTTTCGTCCGGAAAATTAAAAGTTTATTCTCTGTAAAGACACGTATTGTTTTGAACCATTTTCATATTGCTTCTGGTCACATATAACGGGAAAAAAAAATGGCGATGGTTAAGGAACCAGCAAATCCCGAAATTTTGTATACATTTTTGCACTAGGGAGAAATTTAATCGTAGAGAAATGAGAAAACTTCGGGTTTGTTTTTTGTACGTGTGAAAGAACACAAATTGGTTCACTTTGATGGAAACGATTCCTGTGCGTTTATCGAAAATGTCTATAGTTTTGCAGAGAAGGGTACTACAGATTGATGCTATTTAATTTTATTAGTTAAAGGTTGAAAGTGTGAGATGATAGAAATGTCGTGTGTCATATCTCGAAAAGAGTCGAGCCTAACAAAGATTTTCATTGTTATTCTTATCATATAAAACTCATTTATACCCAGAAAATTAAGTTTTTCGACATTTTATAATAAATTGTTTTATATCTTTATATAAAAGATTTTAACTTTTTCACATACAAAATTTCATATAAATCGAAACAAAACATTAATTTTAATTCTTCCATATTTCGAAACCGTGTTATATCTTTATATCTGTTTAAAAAACTGCAATGTAGCACAGTATTCAACACATGGCATAACTCATTCATTTATTCCAGCTTTTTGTTGAGACGCGTTTCTACACACGTTTCGGGCTCTGTTTTTGCCCCTCCTCAGTCAACTAAAACATATAAAAACTAATTATATACATATTATAACCCGACATATGAATTAAAAAACGACAAAAATAAAAGTATATTTCATTGGTATATACAAGTAAGACATAACATACCATTTTCTAAGTAAATTCCTTCTCTGGATGTATTTTTTTCCTTGAACGGGAATCATACTCTATATACTTGATTATTTCAGATACTAGGTTGAAGATTTAATCTTACTTCTTCATGCTTCAGACACAGATTGTCCTATTTAAACTCTACTATACTTTGAAGACTATAAAAACAACACAATTAGTGTACTTAACATGTAGGTATTAACAATATACAGGATTTTTTCTTACGTACTTAGTCACAGTAGAGTTCTTGAGGTGTCACAAAGGATTACAATGGACATTTGGCAGAGTTCTCCTTTTTCCGTATGTTCCCTATAATTCTCCTGTCCTTATCCTCTTTGTATCCTTATCCTCTTTGTATCTAATGAGCTTCTATCACATTTTTTCTTCTTTAGTATTTATATCGATACGAAGTAACTAGACTTCACTTTCTTAATTTTGTTCTTTCAACTCTTCGATTCTAGAGGCGTTTCATTCTATGATGATTTACATAATCATATGGTTTCTGGTAGGCAAGTTTTAATTATGTTTCGTATTTCTTTTAAATAGTACTCTAAAAGTATTTTGAATTTTTTCCTTTTTATTTTCCAAAAATTCTCCTTTTTTTCAAATAATTTTTCTTTCCAAATTCTTTTACAGTATTTTTAGCCAATTCTCGTTAATTTTTAAACTTAAGTTTTTATTTATACAATGTTTATTTTTTATAATTTCTATACTCTCTTTAAATTTTCTGTGATAAGTTTCTTTTTCTTTATGTAGGATTTTTACATTATTTTGGTCAATATTACAATTATTCAACGTGCAATGTT